AGCGAAATGCAGCGTGACACACAATGTGATCAACAGTGACGAATTTGACGTACTTACTGGAGTCAGACAGGGATGCGTGCTTTCTCCGTTTCTTTTCAACATAGCTCTAGACTATGTTCTCTCCAAACTAGACTCTGACACAAGAGGGATACAATGGACGCTAACCACACGCCTAAGCGATCTAGAATACGCCGACGATATCTGCCTGTTAGGACAAAGGTTCCAAGATGTGGCTGACCAATTGGAAACACTTTCCACTGAAGCCAATAAAATAGGTTTGAAAATCAATATTGGTAAAACCAAATCCATGAGAATAAATGCAAGAAACAACACGCTATTCACCATTAATAACATGCAGATTGAAAATGTGGAAAACTTTACGTATCTTGGAAGTGTCATAACAGAAAGCGGAGGTACAGAAGACGATATTCGTATGAGGATACGAAAAGCGCAACAAGCTTTCAGCATGCTCAACCCTGTTTGGAGGTCTGGAGATTACACTACGAGGACAAAGATCCGCATATTCCAGTCAAATGTCATGTCTGTACTACTTTACGGATGTAAAACCTGGAAAGCGACAAAAAACCCTTACAGACAAACTGCAGGTCTTTGTTAATAAATGTCTACGAAGAATTGTTCGTATTTTCTGGCCTAACATCATCAGAAACGAAGATTTACTACACCTGAGCAAACAAAAGAGGGTAGTAAATGAAATAAAGTCCAGAAAGTGGGGTTGGATCGGTCACACACTCCGAAAAAATAACTCCAGTATTGCAAAGACTGCCCTAGAGTGGAATCCCCAAGGAAAACGAAAAAAAGGTCGCCCAGTACAAACTTGGAGAAGATCCATCATGGACGAGATAAGAAAACAAGGAAAGTTTTGGAATGAGGTGAAGGCCTTAGCGCAAAATAGAACCCGATGGCGCGTCTTCACTGAAGCTCTATGCTCCACTTAGGAGTTCAAGAACCTTATATATATATATATATATATATATATATATATATATATATATATATTTATATATATATATATATATATATATATATATATATATATATATATATATATATACTTTTAACAAGGAATTGAAAAAAATATATCCTGCCTGTATTATGAGATTGAGGTAGCTAATAGGTACAATAGGTTTGAAGGTTAAACTAAAGTGAAAACGAATGACTTGCCGATTCAGTGTCGGGGAATTGGGTTTGAATTGAATGTTTGGAAAATGAAATTTTATTATAATTTAGTTACAAGTTAGTAAAAAATAAGGTTTTTTCGTTACAACTTTATTAGTCCAGTCAGCAGAGAGTTGACCCCTAAAAATCATACGAATAAGCTGAATTTGGCAGAGAATATTGAGTTTGAGTCCTATAAACATTGATTTATCAAAGTCACAATGGGCCATAAAAATCTATAAATGTTAAACAAATATTGGACAATAACTTTCAATGGACATTTTTCAAATAAAAAACTTTTATCTGAAATGAGTGCATTCCACGAAGTAAGGGTTTCAACAATCAAACATTTAATTCTTTAATTCCAGGAATCTACGACAGTAATTGACTAGATAATTACCTTCTAAACTTATTCCACAGAAAATGTGATAGTGGGTTTTTCCATTTTGTAGGAAGGTCCAAGTGGCGTATTCAAAATTCTTAACAGTTCACTAAAAGTAGGTACTTCAGTTGCAAGGTGCAGTTTATTGTGTATACTAGTGTTATGGAAAATTTGGAAGTGCCGTGTAAACGCCGAAAAATTGGTCCTTTAACAGTTAATGAAAAAACATTAATATTTAATTGTTTTAAATCATTTACAGACAAACGCTTATGTGAAAGTGTTGATGAGACCGTTGAGTTAGTTAGCAGTACACTTGGTGTTGGGAAATCTACGATTTACAGAGCTATTAAAGAAGATAAATGTGGTAGTTTTCAAATGCCACGTAATGCTCCAGGGAAACCAAAATTTCAAATAGAATATCATTTTAAAGAAGGACTTCGACGGAAAGTGCATGAATTCTTCTTTAGACAAGAATTTCCAACATTGGATAAAGTTCTTGTCTCAGTTCGAGATGATAAGGATTACAGAGAAATGAGTCGAAGTATGTTATGGAAACTTTTAAAAGAAATAGGCTTCCGCTGGAAAAAGAATCCCAGAAAGTCTATTTTATTAGAAAGAAGCGATATTGTCATATGGAGAAGACATTTTCTAAGGACCATAAAGGAAATGAGAAACCAAAAAAGAAAAATATTTTATCTTGATGAAACATGGATCAACGAGGGTCATACACCAAATAAATTTTGGCAGGATGAAACTGTTACAAGTCAAAGGCACGCTTTTGTAAATAACTTATCTACTGGTTTAAACCCACCATCAGGAAAGGGACGCAGGCTGATAATAGTACACATTGGCAGTTCAGACGGTTTTGTTGAAGGTGGTTTATTAACTTTTGAATCAACTCGTACCGGTGACTACCATGAAGACATGAACGCTGATGTCTTTCAAGAATGGTTCGAACAAATGATAGATCTTCTTCCTAAGAACTGTGTAATAGTAATGGATAATGCAAGTTATCACTCCAGACTTATAGAAGGACTGCCCACAACCAAGTGGTTAAAAAAAGACTTGCAGAATTGGCTGAGTTCAAAAAATATTACGTACCATCCCGGATCTATAAGAAAGGAACTTTATTCGTTGTGTGCCCTTCATAAAGAAAAATTTAAAAAATACGAAATTGATGAAATTGCCAAAAATCGTGGAATGACAGTACTTAGATCCCCACCATATCATTGTGAATTAAACCCGATTGAACTGGTATGGGCACAGATAAAGAGTGAAGTTTCAAGAAAAAATACCACTTTTAAAATTCATGATGTTAAACAGTTGTTTTTGGAGGCCGTAAATAACGTAAAACCTGAAAACTGGGAAAAGGCAGTAAATCACACTATTAAAGAAGAGGAAAAAATGTGGAAGCTGGACAATATTACTGATAAAATGATCGAGCCAGTTATTAGAAATCTTTGTTCTGAAAGTTCATCTTCTGAATCTGATTTGGATTTGTAACAAGTAGCTGTAAGTTTTATATTATTATTTTTATTCATTTATTTAACATACCTTAGACGGTTTTAAAAACTCTTTTTCTCTTTTGTAATTTTTAAAAATTAAAAAAAATTTGAATTTTTTAAAACCCTTTTTAATGTAGGCCAGTCAGTACTAATATAGTGTGTGATAAAAGAGGTCACTTTTGTTTACATACACATAACACTTTATAACACTGAAATAATTCATTTATTTTTTACAATTATTCAAAGTAATTTTTCAATTAATCTTGAGCACGCCCATGGAGTGGTCGGAGATACCAGTTAAAATTATGCTAATTACTCTCTCGTTCATAAAAACAAACTATAGAAGGGTCAGCTGCTTAAACCCTATCACTTAACAAGGGTTCAAGAGTTATTGGTTGAAGATTATTCTAAAAGGATTGTATTTTGCGATTGGTTGTTAATGGAACACTCATGTGTTCATTTTATTAGAAATATTTTGTTTACCGACGAGGCTACCTTCAGTAGAAATGAAATAACAAACCATCATCACGAGCACATTTGGGCCGACGAAAATCCTCACGCCAAAGAAACGACTCATCACCAAAGAACTTTCAAAGTTAATGTTTGGGAAGGAATTGTGGATAACAACCTAATAGGCCCAGTATTTCTTCCCAAAAATTTAAATGGTGATAATTACTTGCAGTTCTTGGCAAAGATTTACAAGAGTATTTGGAAGAAGTGGATTTTGCAATAAGGCAAAATATATGTGGTTTCTACAAGATGGCGCTCCACCGCATTACAGTAATGAACTCCGGGAATAGCTTTGCAGGCAGTATCCTGGTCGGTGTATTGGAAGGGGTCGTGACGCACCTATTTCTTGGCCACCCAGAAGTCCAGGTCTTAACCCCGTGGACTTTTGCTTTTGGGGGTTTATTGAAAGAGAAAGTGTATTTGTTAGAGGACGAACAACAATTGAGGGTTAGAATAATTGAAGCTGCAAATCAATTTCGTCAAAAAAATATGATTTTTTAGCGCATTCGGTTTTCCTTATTAAAACGATACCGAACATTTATTGTAATATCACATTTATAGAGGTTATAGACATTTTTTAATTTTAATTCATCAGGTTTTTAATTCATTAATTCACCCCCCTTAAAATTTTTATGTGCGCTTATTTGTTGTGTGCATTTTGTTGTTTCTTTTTTATGAAAAATGCTTTCAGAACAAGAAAGTAACGTGCCCATTTTTATTACAAAATATCAAGTAATTTTGGGGATAGTGCAAAAAAACTATTTTTATTTTGTAACTTCAAAGGGCTGTAACTTTTTTTGTGTACACTTTTGTTCAAGGTAAGTTGGATTCAATGCGTGATTTAATTTATGATATACCTTTTTGAAACACCCTGTATTATAAGTATATTTAGTTTATAAATAAAATCGCAGTTATTTTAAAACATGATATAATCAAATTTGAATGGTCATTTTAAACATGAACAACGAGTGTCTATTGTACACAATAGTTTGTTAAACATGCCATTAACAGCAGGTAAAAAAATCGTAATGTACTGGATTAAACGTAAAATAGTGATAATGCACAGTAAACTAACAATTAAACGTACAAAGTTTATCTACTTATAAACAACTATAATAAATCGTAAATAAACACAAATCAAAACACCAGGTTAAATTTTCCCATGAGTAGTTCGCTTTTATTGAGATACGTCAGACGTGTCCCGCCTACTAAATATCAATTTACATTTCCATTTGAGGTTATGATTATTGATGGAATTCATTACATCATTTATCTACATTTAATTAATATCATTTAAAAATAAAGTGCTACAAAAACAATGTTTCCTTTTCTCTATACGTATGAATGTAAGCCTTGACTATGGTAAACTTTTCATACGTTATTAATGTGTAGTTTAAGTGGACATATGAAACAAAATTGGTACAAACCTAGGTCCTCGACCAGCCTCAACATCACTCCGCCAATGTGGACATCTCCTTTTACGCGAATCAACCTTTCTGTTTGTAGATCAGTGACGAAAACTCGAAGGTCCCAGGTACCATCACCTACTACCTGTCCGTTCGCGAACATTGTTTATTATTTTAGGTATTTCACTTCACTATCACAAGAAACTATTTTATTTTTAAGGTTAGAAAGCACTAAATCACATATTGTTTATTCCATAGAAAACACGTCAATTTTTGGAAGACTCAGCGATCGCAACACTGCCCCTCAAGATTCAAAGTCATAATAAAATTAAAAATCGGATACGATCGTGGAAGGAGAATTTAGACCGAAGTCTTTATGCGTGCGCATTTAAATTGTGGAATGATTGTAAAAGACAGGATCGGGTTAACCCATAATGGATTTGGTTTATAATTTTAAAACACCAAAAAACCTATTTTGTAAATTTATCATAAATTGTTTTTTTTTTATTTAATATGAAATTAGCGTTTTCAATCCTATAATATTCTAAAATTAAAATATAATCAAATCTTTTCATGGTGTGGCTTTGTAGTTTTAAAGCTCCATAATTTCCATTATTGAACGGCTTCTTTGTTTTCATGCATATGCTGTTTCCTCATTTTTACATTTTCACAGCAAAAATGTTTAGCAATTTCTCCCTGTGTCTACCAGTGGCGTTCATGTCATATTCCTTAATTTTATGTATATCTCGAACAAATTCCTCGTTTATTATTTGATATAGCAGACAAAAGAAAGACTTCATGATTGAAGAACTTGCGACATTGGTATGGTATTGATACGAGCATACTATTTAGGGTGACAGTGAATGAAGTTAGATAGCTATGATAGTAACCAAGGTTCTGAAAGGAAACGAAGAAGAAGAATGACAGTAGAGATGGCGGTGTGATATATGAAATTCGTACACCCTGGAAATATAATGAAGTACCTATAGATGTTCATACAGCAGTCAATTGTTTTCTGAATTAAAAAATACGCAGAGTATGATAAAGATGTTCTCAACCTCGACCAACAAGTCCCAAGGGCTTAGATATATTGTGAACATATAGAGCAGGTGTGAATAAGTTTTAACCAAATAAATACCCGTGGATCAACTGAGAACCCGGCATGGGGGCTGCAAACTGTCATTGCTATATATTTATCGATTGAACATGACTCACGCACACATACATACACGAACACTTATAACGTGATCAGTAGACAAATCACCGCCAGTCGCATCATATCTGGCTCATGATAAAGTCAAATTGGGGCTGAAATTATTGCACCCACCAATTCTGAAGATGCATATTATAGGGAAAAAAAGACCTTAAGAGAATACTTTAGCTCCATCGCAACAGAGTGTGACAGTAATTCATACAGTGATGCCACAAAAGTATTCAGGATGACGATAGTACACAGACAACATCCTGATACAAAACTAGGTCAGGCTCAAGAAAACCTGATCAATTGTCAACAAAGTACAATAGAACAGCATGAGATGAGTTCAAAAGAAGTTGGGTGAATACACACAAAATGGTGGAGAAACCTTGAATGAACTTTTCAGGGTGCACTTTCCTGAGTCTGAAACAAAATTGGTACTACAAGATATATGTACGCACACTGCGCTGGAATCTTAAATCATAAAGTTAAACTGTGATAAATGAAGTCACAGATCAGAACAAAATCATATGGGAAATACACTTTAATTAGGCCATATAAATCACCAAATCCGGACTGGTTTTATCCAAGATATCTACAAAAGGAAAATGACCTGTACAAAAACTTATGCATGATACTACAGACTAACTTGGTTATGATAGATTGGGGCAGGCGCTGATATGATCTTCAGGCACCTAGAGCTCCTAAGACGGGTTCATTGTATTACCCCTATCATACGGAATAGGCTCATAAGGACCTATTATTCAGCGTTTCTGGGGCCCAAGCTGTTCCAGGCTCCCATATCTGCAGTAATCAGCAGAGGCTCCAAGTCTGAGCTCTTACAGCCGTTCTGAACGTCTAATCCTTTAGCAACCTTGTGGCCTCACAGAAAGCCACAAGTCTCTTTAAGAATAACTCCCTCATTTGGCTCATTAGCATAAGGATTGAACCCAGTATCTACCATCTCTAGTAGTCTAGTGGAGGGTACTTATAGAGGACGTGTGAGTAGGATTCCTGCTCATCATTACACAGACGGCACCGTGGGCTCTTCGCCGATCCAAGCAGATTAAGGTGCCGCTTGAGTCTAAAGTGGCCGGTAAGCATACTAACCACCAGAGAGCACCTTCTATGGTCTAGACGGAGAAGGAATCCTGGAACCTCCACAGAAGAAGCTCTCTGAGACTACTTTGACCAGTACTGAAGGACACTCCAATTACAGGTTCAGATCCCCCCGGCAGAGTAAATGAGCCCTAAAATCAACAAGGAAGCTAAGTTCCTGTAGTTGGCTGTATATATGTATGTATCACAAAAAATTTATTAAAATTCTTTATAAAAGGTATATAATTTAAAAAACCCAATCGGGCTATATCACAAAACGTTTTTGGAATCCATGTTCCATCATCAGTATCTAGGTGTACATATATTGAGCCACTAAATATCTGGTTAAAAACCCGTTAAAATTTATATGTTTAAATTAAGTTTACATTATTTGGTAGGATGTATATATTAGGATGTTAAAGTTACCAGTGGATTTGGTAACATGACGACGTATGACTCCACATGAAGTTGTGCAACAAGATTCTGTGAGTCTGAACACTACAAATCTGTTGAGTGATCTGAATCAGATAGAATAGTAGTCAGACACACTCATGAAAAAATGTCGAATTTAAAACCAGAGATGGTATATTGGATTTAGAGATAGTGGTAAACAGTTCTGAATTGGAAATTCGACGGCGTATAGAGATGGATATAACCACTATGTCCAAGCTCAGGAAAATATGGAAAAACATATACAAAAAACATTAAGGTCAATCGTGTACAAATATTGGTTTCCCCAATATCTAGCTATACTTTTAAAATGTGAACCAACGGATAGAAAAATAATCCATGCATTTGAAGTGTTGCGTTTGAGAAGAATACATCAAATCTCTTGGAAGAGATAAGGATAATGAAGAGAAGGAAGAGTTGCTTCATGAAGACTTAAGCTACAGACAGAAGTTAGACAGAACTTTACAGTTTTATCACGATTTCCCTCCATCCTTCCCTGCCTTGGGCTAGTTGTTCGGCTTCATGTAACACTTGGTTAATCAATATTTTTGTATGATCTACCAAACGGCTCGGAGATCTTCCCCTAGGTCTCTTTCCTTCAACTCTAATCTCGACTACCAGTTTTTTCATCGTACCCGTTCTTCTAGCGATGTGTCCAAAATACTGCAAATATCTCTGTTGTTCTAATATCGATACGTTAGTGTCGGATGCATATGTGGCTATGGGAAAAATGGGTGCCCTTACCAGCCTTAGTTTTGAGTGTATTGTTATGCTAGAATTTTTCCAAATTGTTACCAGTTTCATCACAACTGTTCTAGCAATAGCCAACCTTGTTCGTATCTCTCTGTCACACCCTCCATCATTTGTTATTAGGTACCCCAAGTATATGAAACTATTTACTACTTCAAAGCCCCCAATTTCTTTAATGTGTTGAAGATTATTCCGAGCTCTGTCTACATCATGATCTTTGTCTTACTGCTATTTAGTTTTAGTTCATATGTTTTGCTTTTCTCCTCCAGACATCTAATTATGTCTTCCATTTCTTCTTGATTTGCCGCGATTATTAAAGTGTCATCAGCATATCTCAAGTTACTGATTTTTTGACCTCATACTGATATTCCACCCTTCCATCCGTATAGTACCTTTCGCGTAATATGTTCGCTGTAGATATTAGAGTTTGCAGATCGTATGCATAACATTCACTCCAACATCTCCAGTCTCTTTTATCTTCAACTTCTGCGGTGATCTGGACTGCGCCAGATTTTCTAGTTTTTAAGTTTTTGATTGCTTTTTCTACCTCTGACTTTAGAATGTTTGGTTCTCTCTCTGCAGTGAACTCGTCGTGATTTGCATTCTGGGGATCATATGCATATAGACTTTGACAATATTTTCTCCATACCTCCGCAATGCCTTTCTCGTGATTTATAATATGTTGCTTTTGATCCATTATTGTATTTGTGATTGGTTTAAATTCCCTGGATAGATATCGGACTTTGTTATATAGCTCATGGGATTCATACTGGTTTTCATGTCTCTCTAGTTCTTGTCATTCTTTCATTTGTTTATTTTTATCATCCCTACATCCTCTTTTAATTTCTCTATTTAACCTTGCTAATTTGTTTTTTTTTACTGCCGTTTTGATATATGAGATTTGATTCTCCTTCGCTCTTCGAGAAGTTGCAGCGTTCTGTCTGTCATCCAGTGTTGTTTCTTGATGATCTTTTTTCGGTCCTGGTTCTTTCTACAGAGGTTTCTATGGCATTTCTGAAACCTTTCCACATTTCTTCTCGGTTGTCTTGTGTGTTCAACATACTAGTTTCGTTTAATGCATCTCTAAATGTTTTCGGATATAAAATCTCCAGCCGGTTTTGAATTTGGCGCGGCATTGTTCTTTTTAGCATCTTGAAGCAAGCCCATAACAATTTATGATCGGATTCACATTCAGCTCTTAGTCTAGTTTAGACGTTTGTAAAACATGTCTTCCATCTGTTTCTAATCAATATGTAGTCGATTTGGTTCTTGTATTTTCCATTTGTGCTATGCTTTATTATTTACATAGGTGTTAATTTAATATGTTATTCGAAAATGCAAGCATGTTGCTTGCTTTCTAAGCCTATTTTAAATCTTGCTGTAGTGTTATTCCAAGCTGTAGTAGTCGCTATAAGTAGTTTTCGATTTATCAGTGAACTATATTTAAAGGACAGGTCTAGGAGAATAAAATATTGACAACAAAACAAACTTTATATTCAGTCTATTAAAAAATAGGTGATAATACCTACAAGTATAAATGTTTTTATATAAAATCTTATTCTTCAGATGACACAGTTGTGGTAAGTCGTTACATCTAAAGCCAGGTTTATAAACGGACATAGTACATAATCATAAGTCATAAACATAACGTCAACCACAATCATAATTCATAAGATTTAAGATTGGTTTATAACTAGACATAATACATAACCATAACATTTAAGAACTACTTCAGAAAATACAAACCTAACCAAATTTTTATAGAGCATGAAGAATTTTTTTCTGGTCTTTAGATTCATAGAAAAGTGAAATAAATAAATATGTGGTTGAATTCGCTCCAAAAACATTAAATTAAAATAGTAGGGTTATGTATAGGAAGAAACTGCAGATGATTCTACCAACGCATGCGCATATTCCAACAATTCCATAATGTTTAATACTTAATTCATAAATGTTGAAAGTTACCAACTTTCAAGGTCACGTTTTAAGGACTAAATTTATGTCTTATGTATTATGGATGCTTTTAAATGGGTACATTTATTTATTAACTTTTAACATTATGCTTATATAATAAGATTATGGTTAAAGACTAAAATTATGTTTATGTCCGTTTATAAATCCGGCTTTAAATAGAAATAAAAAATGTTAATAAAACTGAAACTGCTAAAATACCTTATGAAAACATAACCTCAACAAAACTTTAACAATAAACTTAAAAAATAGGAGTAGTTGATACGCGCTCATTTTGTAGTTCCTGTCTTGTCAGGTCTGCATATCTTCTTCAGGCAAACCTAACTCGTTGAAATATAACAAAGCTTTCCGAACAAAATCTGGTCTAATGTTGTACAAAGGATGGGTGCATTGCTGAAACAAAAAAAAGATGATACAGTCGGCAGTTCAGTAGATTATCGCGAAGTTTGCTACTGTACTTTTAAAATTTAAATAATATTTTTCAAATTGAAAAAAGTAATTTTATTATTTATATTTTAAACAAATTAAATTAAAATAACAATAGATTATTATGTTTGCTCTTAACGTCATCTGCTAACACACTATCAAAGCATACATTGTTTACTTCTGATAGATCCTAATAGTAGCAATTTGTATTTTTACCATAATTAAGCTTTCTGGAGACCTGACGATGACAGGGTGTAGAATTGTGTTATAGAGGTAGTACCTTTTATCAGAACGACCACATCAAGCGTCATAGACGGGAGATGGTTCTTGAAAACTGATCCTCATAAGACAACTAACTCTCACTTATGGCTCCACGTGCCACACCCTGGGCAACTGCATTGGTCTGCAGGCTAAACTAAGTAAGGGTAGCCAGATATGGCGAGAATTTCACCGAGTGATTGCCGGTATAAGCAATCTCCCACTTACCGACCAACGGCTTCGGGCGAATGAGTCAGTAAGTGGTAGGGCACTCTTTTGTCCTGGGGTTGAGAAATCGGCCTCGAAGGCGTATGAAGAAAAAAAAGACAACGGCATAAGAATGTAGAAGGCAAGGGGAAACCACTACAATAAAAATTCTACACATATATCCCTAGTACAATTGTCATGGCTGTACAAAAAAGTAACTCCGGCAGGGGAGGCAAATCACACATAGACCACAGGGCCTCTCAGGTCGATATCAAACGAAATCCCTGTGAAATACCCATTAGTAACACATCGTCCAAAAAGAAGTTCAGGTAAAGTCCATAATGTCATTCAGGAAATGGAAAGACTTGACATAAAAATATTAGGACTAAGTGAGACCAGATGGCCCTTTTCACGTGGCATATTAGTAGGTCAAACAAAGATATACTACTCTGGTAATGACAATGACAAATTGATGACAATGACAAATTGATGACAATGACAATTACAAATAAAGAAGTACTGGAGAGGGTTGGTAAAGAAACAGAACTAATCACCACTATACAAACCAGAAAACTGGAATACCTAGGCCACGTGATGAGGGGACCAAAATATGAAATTTTGAGACTCATAATATGGGGAAAGATTAGCATCTACTGCATTTACTACTTACCACTTCATTACGTTTGGGACCTAGTATTGGTGTGGTATCCATAAAATGTTGAGCTATCGAAAGGCCGCTTATAGCATAACAAGTATGATAAAGATCCCTGCTTCTTCCTGGTTTGTCTATGAGGCCACCGTTAGGATTTTGGCAGCACGCTAATAAATATTCCTGTAGGGAGCCGCTGTCAAATAGATGCTGTTTTGGTGGATTATCAGCTGGAAATTAAATATATAAATAACAGAATAGTACTCCACTAAAAACAATACAAACTAATTAACTTTTATAAAAGTTTATGAAGTGTTACCTACCAACATATAATAGAGAATATAATAATGGAAAAGCGCCTCCTTGCCAAAAAGAATAACATGCATCAACTAGCTTATTAGTCCGGCCTTGAAATCCACCTTCTACTTTCATTTGCTTCTGTACTAACCATCTCTAGAAAAACAATTTATTACCAAGTTAATTTTGATAATAATAAAAATAATAACGGTGGGAGTTCTGTCAGTTTTATCAGGCGCGCCCCTTCCTTGCTACAGGTTGTTCACTGGGTATTGGTAGCATCGATACCCAGATGATATCGGCTGTAGAAGAAAAACTAACACCTGGTAGTAGGTATACAATACATATCTATGAAAATAGTGATTACTAATCTATGTTTAGGGCCACAAGACTAATATACGAATAGAACAGTGTTTCTCAACCTGTGGTCTGCGGACCACAGGTGGTCCCCGAACGGTTTTCATGTGGTCCGCGAAGTGAACAGTCATAAAATAATAATCAACTTAAATCTTGGCTCGTGAGACGTAAATTAATGTGTCGACCTATTTTTTTTTTTAACTCAAAACGTTTCCAGATGACGAAACGCGCCTGAACACAGGTTCATTCCTTCAATCTTCCGCTTATTTTCCCTCACGCGCCGAATAGTTAGTTCCATTATCTTCGTTTAGTTTCGGCCGCTGTCGTGTACGTACCGGACACTGCGTCTTTGATCGCGCCACTACTCAGTGACTCAGTGCTGACTCAACTGTCATGTGACGAGCGTGCGTGTTTTTTGCTTCGTGATTCTAGTTTACTAAAATGAGCAAACAGATGAAACTTTCGGGTTTTTTAAGAAGACGGATAGTGAGAACGTTAAGGCAGGATGTTCTGCCAGTGATAGCACAATATTAACTCAAACTGGTCCTAAAATAAGGGCTGCTAACCGTAAGTACAATCCCACTACATAGCATGTGGATTTACATTCATTGAAGAATTTGATGTCCAATTACCTCAATGTGTAATTTGTGCGAAGGTATTAAGTAATGAGGCAATGAAGCCGGCAAAATTAACTAAACACTTTGAAACAAAACATAAACATTTTGCCGGAAAACATGTAGATTTCTTTAAGAGGAAGGAGACGGAACTAAAATCGTCAAAAAATATCCTTAAGTCATACTCAACTTATGATAAAGGTATTTTGAAGGCGTCATATCAATTTTCACTTAGAATCGCAAAAACCAAAAAACCCTTTACTGTTGGTGAAGAGTTTTACCATGTAAAATCGTAGATGCAACTAAAGTAATTTTAGGTGATAAATACGCTAAACTAATGCAAAATATTCCTCTTTCCAATGACACCGTTAGTAGTAGAATTGAAGATATGGCATCAGATGTTGAAACCCAACTTCCAAAGAAAATTCATTCTTCAAAGATTTTTGCTGTACAACTTGAAGAATCTACATATTACCAATAAAGCTATTCTTCTTGTTTATATACGATTCATAGATAAAGATAACAAAAAATTATATGAGGAGTTCCTGACCTCGATTGAGTTGCAAGGTAACACAACCGGAAAAGACATTTTTAAAGCCATTGACGAATATTTCACACTTACAAATCTTTCTTGAAAAGACTGTGTAGGACTTTGCTCTGATGGTGCCTCGGCAATGACAGGTCACAAAACAGGCTTGCCAAGTTTTGTAAGGAAAGAAGGAAACCGTGATATTGTTTTAATACACTGTATTATTCATCGTGAAATGCTTGCTATCAAAAGATTAAGTTCCGACCTAAACAAGGTTTTGACTACTGTGGTAAAGGCCGTGAACTTTATAAAGAGTAATGCTCTTAGTTCGAGATTGTTTGCTTTGTTATGCAAGGGCATGGGATCCATCCATTCCAATCTCCTTCTACATACCGAAATTCGGTGGATGTCTAGGGGCCGGGTTTTAGCCAGATTTTATGAACTTGGAGAAGAAGTATGTATGTATCTTGATGAAAAAAAAAACTGATTTAGCGGAAACACTGCGTGACGGAGAATTTATGGCCCAGTTAGCTTTTTTAGCAGATATTTTTGAACAGCTCAACATATTGAATCTAGGCCTACAGGGACCATCTAAAACCGTATTTGACCTTTGGAAAACGATTGATTCATTTAAGAAAAAATTGTGGCTATGGGAGTCCGAAGCTGGAAAAGGATCGTTTAAAATGTTCAACTTGTTTTCAAATTTTATCTCTGAAAATGAAGGCTTAAATGAGGATGTTTTACATTCACTGGTTAAGTCCTACATTAAATCGCTTCAAGATTACTTTGAGAAGTACTTCCCTGTTGATATAGATGTGAAGAAAAATAATCTGTGGGTGATCGATCCCTTTTTAGCTACCGACGATAATAATCTGTCTATTGAGGAAAATGAACAGCTTATTGAAATTTCATCCGATGATCATTTAAAAGTGATAAAATCTCACTGCGAAAATGTTGCCAATTTTTGGATAGGATTACTTGATAAAAGTCCACTGCTAAGTGAAAAAGCTTTGAAACTTCTTCTTCCTTTTCATTCCACTTATCTCTGTGAGGCATCATTCTCAACATTATATGTCATCAAGAATAAACACAGAAATAGGTTGCTAAATTTAAATGCTCCTATGAGACTGGCGTTAACTTCTTTCGAGCCAAATATTGAGAAACTTTCAAGTGAGAAGTAAGACCAAGGTGTCATTAACGTCCTAATTTGGCGATATCTATGACTTTTTATATTGTTTTTTATATCTCTTTTGTCTTTCATTATGTATTTTCTTTTTTATTTTGTAAATAATAAATTCATTAGTAAAACTTCAGTGTTCATCTCATTTTACCTATTATTGGGAAATATTAATAATATCTAAGTGCTCCGCCAAGAATTCTGAAAGGTACAAGTGGTCCTGAGTGGTGAAAAGGTTGAGAACCACTGGAATAGAAGATCAAATATCAAAAGAAATAGGGGTACAGGGGGTAGGACTGGGACATATACTGTCACCACTAACGTTTAAAGTCTAAGTGAACAAATTTATCAGGAAGTAATATCAAATGTAAATTAAAGTATAATCGTCAACGGAAAAGCCGTAAACATCGATATGCAGACGACACTGTGCTGTTAACAAAAAAAAATTTTAGAACATCTTCAACATTATTCGGAAAATACTAATATAAAATTAGAATTAGGAAAGAAAGGGTAATCTAGCATTTAAGAACACACATCAAATTTGCATTTCATTATTTAACATAAAATGATTTAAAATAACTCCTACCAATAAAGCTCGTTCATCTATTAAATGTCCTTTGTTGAGTATTACCAAGGCTGCTAAACCACAAAATGCGTATCCACCATGAGCTTCCATACCAGGACATCCAGCGAATCCACCCTCGTATGTTTGGCAACTGAAAAATTAATAGCATCGGCATAAATATATATTTATAGTACCAGTTTTTTAAAACAGTATAATAAAAATAGCACAACATAAACTTACAGTGAAGTGAAAATTTTTTAGGTAAAATTTATTTATTTAATACACGGGATAATTGATGTCTTTTAATATTCTCAAGGGTGAGTGTAATCTTGGCGATAAGTGGGTTGTGATCTGAGGCCACGTCTGATCCAGGATGTGCTTTCACGGCTTTAACAGCATTACGATATCTTTCCTTGATCATAATGTAATCTATCTGGTTTGGTTGTCTGTTTGGTAACTTGAAAAATGTGTTTGTAATAATTAAGTTCTGCTCTCAACAGAATCGTAACCGTCTCCTATCTCGTTAAAATATTAAATAATACCAGATCATTTAATTTTTAACTATCAACAAAAATGTAATATATCATGACATGTATGAATTTAATGGTAATACGATATTCACAGATATCGCTGTGCCTTAAGTATCTACACACATAATTTATTTGTCGATAAAAATGTTTAGATAATATGAATCATTTTTCAATGATATAATGAGGATGGAACTTTATTTTTCTGATAACAAATGTTCCTGCAAATGAGTAACTTTGTGTATTTGTATATTATATTCTGATTGACACAGCAGAGCAGTAAAATATTATACATAATGGTGTTGTTAGAGATATCTTTGCTTACTTGGTCTACTAGTAATAAAGTTATAGCGTAATTGATAAAATTACTGTTTACACAACTTAGCAACTCAGTCAATTGATATAATGATAAAAAACTGTAATTTATGTTAGGGTATGAAAATATTATGGAGTCATCATGTAGAAATCTACAATTAAGTTAAAAAAATTATCACAGCAGCTTGTCGCAGTAGAGCCATCTCTAGAATCAGAAACAAATTAATTGAGGGTGAAGATCAACCTTAAATTACAATATATAATATCAGTAACAGTTTTGGTCTAATCAGACCATCATCAATGAACACCTAAAACTAAGCATTTCCATGTTAAATAAAAAAAGCGTAAATGTTTACTATTAATCTGAAAAAACATGTGAAAAACACTTACTTAGTTAGCAATTAAAACTAGCCATTTAAAAAGTTGAAAGATAATTTTGAATTGAATATAGAATACTAAGTGTTATGTTGATGAAATCCAGAAGATTTTAATTATTATATTGGGGAATAGAAAATTTATTGCGTAAAAGTAATGTGAAAGTCGAAGTTTAGGAGAGGAATTGTATTAATTGTGCATGAGTGACTATAGACGTAGAAGGGAGAAAAATGCTATTAATAAGGATTGACTGTAATTGGATTTAATCTGTAAAGATGATCACAAGTATAAAGAAAAGAAAAGGAAGGTTTTTCAGATAAAAACTATAAATGAGAATGAATAATTAACGATGGTAGGAAACAAAGTCACAACAGAAATAGGTGTGATGATTTACACAGTTGAGGTTATTTCTCTTGTCTTTGAAAATTGAATACAAAAATTTAATTGTAATATGTTCTTCTGTTGAATATTGTGTATAAGATCGATGTCACCTGAAATGTTGAGATGGTGGTTGTTAAATGTAAAGTGTTGACAAAAGGCTGAAATGTTATCTCTTTTAGAAAGTTCCAACGATCTGGTGAACAATCAAGTGTACGTTCTGCCAATGTAGGTGGCATCACAATTAGAGTATGATAGTTTGTAAACTCCACTGCGGTGCATAAAGTGAATTGGGTTTTTGGTGTTGGTTAGAGTCTGGGAATTAAAGACAAACCTAAAAGTTTAAGAAATACTTTTTAAAAGTACTTACCTTACTATCCACTCTGCAGTATTCCTAAATAATTCTGGAGTCATGATTCCAGTAAGACTAGCTATTGAAAGAGCACAGTAAGCTCCTCGTATATCAACCTCTCCATTTTCGTGCATTTGAAAAGATCCATCAACCTGCCGTACCCTCCATAAAAATTCTTGAAGTTTTTTCCTAAAAGAATAAACCAGTTAAAAAAATTTAAATCCACAAAGTCAGCGAAGTACGACACAATCGCCCGTTCTCGACTATAAACAACAGTACTGAGACCCCAGAAGCTCCGATGATGCCTTGAGAGAGGTAGTCAAAAGCATGACATATCCAAATTCGACACGGTTCAACCTGGAAACTGAGTAATTTGACATTATTTTTTCTAATAATACTAATCTTATCAGGAATATTTACTACTCTTTAACTTGCTACTTTATTATATTTATTTCAATTTTTTGGTAACATCAGATATAGCTTGTAAAAGAAGATGGGATAAGAATAATCTCTATTATATATTGGTGGCTGATACACAACCTTACAGTCTATACTGAGCCAGAATTTAAACCATATTGTTCTGAAGCTATTTAAAGATTTAAAAAAACTTGTTTATAAACACAATTTTTTGCCAAAAAATATTAGGTACAGATCTGAATTTATTGTCTCAACTCATTGATTTCCTTAAAAAAGTTGGACAATTGAGTGATAAACAATATGGTTTAAGATCTTTAAGGTCTCAAAAACAAAGAATGTTCTAAAATACAGGATCTAAGTAAGAATTCAATAAAATAATCTTTAAAAATAAAAAAAAAAATTCAAGGGCTGTAATGCAATGATGATGATTGTGTGTAATTCTAAGAACATATTTAAGACTGTCCAAAAAAGGAAGCAGTTTTACATGTTGAATATTAAAATATTCTGTAACATGAAACATAAGCAATTAAACATACCTATTTATTACATTTAAAGCTTCTTCTATTCCTAAAATCACTAAGGCATTTACGGCTGCATAGGTAGTAGCCAAATGTGCTATCTGTCCTGGTCCTCCACCAAATCCACCAGTACGACTCTGGCATCTACAAAGATATGTATGAATTCATTGAAAAATGTTCTACAATTCATATATATTTATTGTATGAAGAAAATATGCTTAACAGTTGCTTTTCGTGGTAAAGACTTTTAAAATGTTAACAAATGTTGATAATGAATAACTTTCTTTTCTTAAATATTGTTTCTTTATTAATTTTGATCACGGTTTGCTTTAAAGTTATGAATTATCGAATAAAGCATTCCAATTTATTGGTATCTTAAAATTAATTTGGAAATATGCAACAATAAATGTTCGAAAATGTAAGACTTCTAATGCCGATAACATATTTATTGTTTTGGCTTCCTTAAGAAATGTACACTTCTAATTTAAACATTACTGATCAATACTGATCAGCTAGTGGTCCAAATTTGTTTAAAATAAGTTGCAAAATTAGCATTTGCTCATCAACACATCAAGAATGATGCATTTAGCAAAATGTTATGTTTACAAATGAATCAAGATTTTGCACACATTCTTCTAATAGTGGGATAGGTGTTTGAATTAGAACAGGTCAAAGATTTATGGAGTTTTACCTCTAGTGGATGAGGATCACTAGTAGTATGAGTCGAAATATCAATAGGTTGTATGGAGCTTGGTTTTTGTTCAGGATGGAACACTGTCACTACTAAAATGCATTAATGGTATTGCAACAAAATATCCAAACTATTCAGTATTTTCTTCTAGATTTCATTACCAAGAAACAGAACATTACAATAATGCAATTAAAAAAAATGTATTTTGTAAATGTATTTTTAACTTACTTCTTTAAAAACTTGGCAATCACTTTTTTCCTTCTATAATCTAATTGAATACCCATCAAAGATAAAGGATGCAATATCCAATAGCATAACCAAGGTCGACTAGCATCTAATACCTAGAATAAAACAAATTCATTTTTTGATAGTCTATATATTAGTTTTAAAATAGTTTATGGGTGTTAAAACTTTTATTATTTTTATTTAAGTCCATATTATTTTAAAATTTTGGTCATTTATGTATGAAGATAGTTAAAGGGATGATTTAAAACTAGATATATTATATACAGCTTTCTGTTTTCTTTTTTTGTCAGGGTACAACCATTCTTTATAAAATATAAACAAGTTTGCATTTGTATGATACTTCAAAACATCGCATTCACAAAAGAAATCCTATTTCTATGACACTGGGGTCAGCACAAAAAATTTCACTTCAGATGTTAATTTCAAATTATGCAATATTTTTGTCTGTAAGTGTAGTTACATGCCCAATAGCAATTCATGTAAAATAGCATTTAGAGATATAATTTTTGCAGCAGAATTTAAAAATGTTACTTAGAAAACAATAATTGAACTTTAAAGACATGAGCAACTGTGTAGTTGATTTTATACTCTGCCCTACCAAATCGAATATACCTACATATTTCTCTCTCTTGTCGTTTCCTCATTGCTGAGGATCGTGATTCCCTACAATGCGGGCTGTCAATTCTCTCCATCTCTTGCGATTTTGGGCTGCTCTCATGGACTCGGAAAACGTCTCTCCAGTGGCTTTCTGTACTTGATCTGACCATCGGATAGGTGAGCGTCCTCCGCCTCTACATCCTTCTACGTTTCCGCACACAATTAGTCTTTCTACCTACATATTTATAGCATAATTATTCTTTCTTCAGGTGCCCAAACATCAAGAGAAATGGCAACAGATTGCAAATGATTTTGATCTGAAGTGGAAGTACCCTCACTGTTGTGGCAGTATCGATGGAAAACACATATATGTTTACAAGCTCCAATAAATACTGGAAGCAACTATTTTAACTACAAGGGATTTTTCAGCATAGTACTTTTCAGCATAGCTATAGTGGAGGTTAACTAATGCGTTACATTTGTAAATATAGATTGCCAAGGCCATTTATCTGATGGCAGAGTCTATCTGATTTGCTATTACATTTAAACAGTTACTTGAAAACTCTTTTTTAAATCTCCGATCAATTAAAGTTTTACCAGGAAGAACATCACATTCACCTTTTGTGTTTCATGGTGATGAGGCATTTGCTTTGCAGTCGCATATGATGACACCCTTCTCAGGCACCCAATAGAAAGAGTCACTGATTAGGGTTTATAATTACAGATCAATACAAATAAATAGCATGTTTTTAAGTGTAGATCAGTTGTGATGCGGTTTTACAACAATGTTTTGTAACTTTCTTTGATGTTTACTGACAACTGTTGGATAACAAAACATGCTATATAACCAGAAAAATGTTATATGACACTGTGTTTTAAAACTTTTTTATTTAAAATTCTGTAACAAATTACAAAACTTTGTTATTTAACATGTTTTGTTACATAGTCTGGACCCGGCTTTAATGAGCCCTAATGGTTTCCAATAACTATATATTCTGATACAGTCAGAACAATTATAGTTATTGCAAGAAAGAAAAATTCAAATACAATAACATTCTTGCTACACATTGTACAGTTCTATTTGTAGTGCTCTTATAACTAGTTTCTTTAGTAAATTGTGTACAGTTGTTATTATAATTTGTTTATCGATTTTAAGTGTCTATATAAGATATGTACTTACCTCATAGGCAGAGGATACATAAGTAAGACTATCAAATAAAAAATTTCTGTGTTTGTCTTTAAGAAGTTCTGGTAATTCTTTATTTACTTTTAATTTAGTATTATGTAAATCTTCCAACTTCTTTAGAACCTGTTTTTCTACATCAATCTAGAAAGGTTTATGTTTAAAAATTTTGAATTTCATAGGTTATGTTAAATGTAACTACCTGTTCGGAAGAGGTTTTCGTTGGATAATTTTCAGTGTTTATTATTTCTTTTGTGATCTGAGACAAAGGACGTAACTTACACTCCATGAGGAATTAGAATAAACTATCTATTCATTTAAATATCCTAACACACAATAATGAACTTTGATTTAATTGGTTTATCAAAAATTTGTTTGTTCAGTTTGTTGGTATTTACATTCTTCTTTTTTGTATTAAAATTCTTCTTCTTTATAGAAAAATCGGACTTAGACCATAGATTTTGTAACTAGGCACAGAACAAATAAAAATTGCTGTCTTATTCTGTGACTTGGGTAGGACAAAGTTTTTAATTTTTTTCATTATTAAAAAATACTCCTATAGATACATAGGAGTAAAATACTCCTATTTTTATTTCTTTTATTTGAACTGTATTTATTTTTTAGTGAATTTAATAAACATATTAATTATTGTTGCACTCATGGAACGTGCCAGTAGAAGTACTAAGGTTTATAGTTTCTTTTACATTTAGCCATTACGTTAAATATACCTATTGTGAGCTACCATTAAATCATTTACTTCCCTACTCAAAGAAACGTATTGATAATATGGGAGATGGTTTGTTTGTAGAAGTCCCAGTTTAAAAGTTATCTCTTGATGAAGGATCTTCCCTACTGAATCATGCCGTACCTTATATTCAGCTGGAGCAAATGCCTGGCAACCACCGGTAAGTTGTTGGATGATTTCTAGGGCTTGAAAGAGAATATAATATATTATTATTCTACTAATATATTACTATTCTAAGTCCACTATCTAAAAATGTTCTAATTTCTGTCAGTTGTATTTACATTATTCTACTGATATGCAGTTATTTTCTTTTTCCTTCGGTGATTATTAATTCTTTCAAATTTATTGGAATACAGGGCACAAAGGATATCCAATAAACATAAATATTCATATTTTGTAAGATTCCCATTAGCCAAACCGTCCTAAATCAACTAAACAAGTATCCAAATAAACAGGACGTTGCTCGGAATAATTTTTGGTTGGGAATCCACCTTCATCTTGTACAACGACGTCGTAATTTGTCTAACACTTTCTTTGTCTAATTTTTTGTCGTGTTATCAAAGAGGGGTTACAAATAATAATCGTTACTTCACAACATCAGTTTATTCTCAACCCTCAAACATACATGCTTGCCCGAGCTTCGGCTACGTTTACATGACATCCCTGTCATCTCTGTTGCCTAACTCCGGCGCCTATATCTTAATCTAAGCTAACAACACATCTCCTTTTTTTTATAAAAGATCCCTGTGTCATTAATGATCTTATACCTAAACTAACTTAAACTACTACAAACATAATCTGTTAAATGAACCGGTTTCTTCACAAGTCTTTTTGGCCTGCTAGGCTTTACGCACTCAAAGTCCGATACACTATCGCTTTTATCCTGACCCGATGGAGGTAAAACATGATTTCCACTTTGTTCGATTTTGTCCTGAAATACACTGGGTTCCCCCCTACTACTTTCCTCCATTATTTTACCCTGTATGTCACCATTGCTTTGATTAGAGCAAGGCATTAGCTTTGTGTTACTAGAAATTGGCGGAACATAATCATTTGAGGATTCTGGTTGGGTGCTCAATACAGGGAAACAGTAGGGTGCATGAATCAAATGCCATCTATTTCTTCTAAATTTCCCGGTTTCAGTTTCAATTATATAGGACCTGGGTTCCTGACAGATCGCAACAACTCGCCCATATTTCCTGATATCAACCACCCACACAGAATCACCAACCTTAAGAGGATCTAAATCCTTGGCATTGTGTCGCTTATTGTAGTTTTTCACTTGTTTATCCTTTATTTCATTCTTTTTATTTTTAGTGTTTGGTTCTTTTGAAAAGTTTAATAAGCTTGGAAGCTGGGGTAAGTTAGATCTTAATTTTCTATTCATTAATAATTCAGAAGGTGAAACACCACATTCTAGGGGTGTACATCTATATGCTAACAATGCCAAACTTAGGTCCTCTTTTTTATTTTTCTGAATTAATCTTTTTGCAATTTGTACAGTGCGTTCCACTCCACCGTTGCTCTGAGGCCAGTGCGGACTGCTCGTCGTATGAACAAAATTATATTCTTTTGAAAACTTTATAAATTTTGATGAAAATTGAGTACCACAGTCGGATCTAACTTCCTCTGGGATACCATAACGAGAGAAAATATCTTTAAGCTTAGGAATAATGGCATCTTCTGTCATATTGGTTAAAGTAAAAATTTCAAACCAATGTGAAAAGTAGTCAGTGGCAATCAAATACCACTTATCATAACATTTAAACAAATCAACCCCCAGTTTTTGCCACGGCCTTTGTACAGTATTGTCTTTATGAAATGTTTCTCTATGATTTACTCTGTGTTCAACACATTGGGGACAATGTGTGACAAGGTTATTAATCTGGGATGACAAACCCAGCCACCAAACGCTCTGTTTGGCACGATCTCGACATTTTACAATTCCCATATGGCCTGTATGAATAAATTCCAACACCTTGAGTTGAAGACTCTTAGGAATGATTATGCGAGACCCTTTTAAAAGTAATTGTTCCGAATAGGAAATTTCATATCTATATTGATAGTATGGCAACAATTCAAATGGCAATTTAGATCTTTCAGGCCAAGAAGACAAAGAATATTCTTTTAGTTTTTTACAAATATATTCATTTTCTTGTTCTGTTTTTATTAAATTCAAAAAATAATCTTTAATTGGTAAATTATGAATAATTGACTGCACATATGCTGCAGTTTCTGCAGTTAGTTCTTTATTAGCTAACGTATCTGTTTGTAAAGGGGCCCGACTTAAAGTATCTGCTACAATTAAATTTTTTCCCGGCGTGTAGATTACAGTATACTTGTATCGCATTAAACGCATTCGAAATCTTTGCAAACGTGGCGTTAACTCATCTAAATTTTTAGTTTGCAGAATTTGTAGTAAAGGTTTATGGTCTGTTTCAAAAATTAGGTTAGGAACTCCTGAAATAAAATCATAAAAATATTCTGCTGCCCATGTAAGTGCAAGAGCTTCTTTCTCAATCTGAGCGTATCGTGTTTCAGCTGAGTTCAGAAGCCTAGATGTAAAAGCCACTATTTCCCGAGTATGATCTACATTTTCTTGAAATAGACATGCACCTATACCAAAACAACTTGAGTCTGCACTAACAATTATGGTTTTATTAGCATCAAAAAACGCTAGATTTGGAGGGCTCTCTAACTTTTGTTTTAAAGTGCTGAAAGCTTTATCTTGTGCTGGACCCCACAAAAAGTTAATATTTTTTTTTAGTAAGTGTGTTAATGGTTCAAGAATCTCAGATTTATTATGAATGTATTTTGCAGCAAAATTAATCATACCCAGCCATCTTGACAGCTCAGTCTTATTTTTTGGTTCAGGAAAATCACGGATAGCTTTAACCCTATCTGGATCAATTAATATCCCTTGCTCAGAGACCATATGACCCAAGTATTTAGCTGTTTTTGTTGCTATAGAGCATTTGTTTTTATTTAGTGTAATACCTTCCTTATGAAGTTTTGTTAGGACTGTGTTCAAAATATTGTCATGTTCCTCTATTGTCCTTGCATGAATAAGAATGTCATCTATATGGACAACACAGCCTTCAATGCCAGTTAAGATTTTTGAAAATCTCATAGTAAAATACTCTGGGGCACAAGATATACCAAATGGAAGCCTTTTAAAGAAAAATCTGCCAAAAGGTGTTATAAAAGTTGTTAACAACTGACTTTCCTTATTCAATTTTATTTGGTAAAACCCACTTGTGGTATCCAATTTTGAGAAGAATTTAGACCCTTTCAACTGTGCTAGTGTATGAGATATTTTCCCGAGAGGAAAATGTGACCGTAACACGTTTTCATTAAGTTTAGTATAGTCACCACAAAGCCGTACACAATCTCCCTTGTCCACACAAACAATTGGGCTGACCCAAGAAGTAGGATCTTCAATGGGTTCAATTATCCCTAATTTTAGCAATCTATCAATTTCAATTCTTAATTTTGGTAACAGAGGTAAAGGAACAGTTCTGGGAACGCTCTGTACATAAGGTTTAGCATCTGGCTTAATTCTAATTGACATTTCCATTTTAAATTCACCTATATCACTAAAAATACCAGGAAATGTTTTAGCAACAGACTCTAAATTAAATTTTGAAAACATATTAGTACTCTCAGATTGATTACAATGAACAACACTGCAACTGATTTGATTTACCTGTTTAAGCTTACAATTAGAAAAATTTAGAACATTAAACTTAATGATTGACTCTCTGCTTAATATAGGTTGTCTCAACTTCCTAATACAATATATTGTTTCATCATTTGTAAAACCGTCATAAGTAAATTTTATATGTAGCTTACCCACTGTGTCCAATTTATGATCGTCCGCTGCACCAATTGCATCACATGCCACAATTTTACCCACATATTCTGGAGGTAATTTTTCATAGGGAAAGCAGTTAACATCTGCTCCTGTATCCACAAAAAAAGGTACCTTAAATTTGTCATCCAATAAGATGTCTACATACCAACGATCCTTCTTGTCTAGGTACACTTGGCCAATAAAGGAATCTGTATGTACCACTTGATTTACTGAATCCCTTCCTTCGTCATCTGTACTACTGCTACTGGTGGACCTTGAACACTTAACAGCTCTGACAGCTTTCTTCCTGCACATCACACTCCAATGACCTCTACGTGAACAAGATCTGCATTCAGAGAACTTGGCTGGACATTTCTCCCTATTTTTACATGTAGGTATGCCACAGTATCCACATCTGTAACCTTCCTTAACTTTCTCATGAGTTGTTTCTTGTTTAGCAAAACTCTTACCTTGATGTCTTTTATCACTACGCTCCCTGTAGTCCTGTTTAACTGCACTAACTGACTGCTCCTGTCTCATAATTCTATTTTGACTATCTTGAAGTTCAGCTTGGCGTGCTATTTGTATTGCCTTCTCTAGTGTCAAACCATCATTTAGTTGCATTCTTTCGCTCACCTTTTTATCAGCTATTCCGATAACTATCCTGTCACGAATTAACTCATCTTTAAGAGCTCCATAGCTACAGTGCTCTGCAAGAGTATGTAGACTTGAAATAAAGTTTCCCACAGGTTCTCCTGGCCTTTGTACCCTTGAATTAAATTGAAATCTCTCAAAGATTGTATTTCTTCGGGGAATAAAATGATTGTCGAAAATCTGCATTACATCTTGAAAGGATGCATTCTCCACTGGTTGATTTTGAAGTAAAATATCTTCTGCTTCATTTCCCATTAAATACAACAGTAGGTCTAATTTATCCTTGTCAGATTTTTGTCCAAATCCACTTACAGACATATATCTCTCTACTCTTTTCTTCCATTGGGGCCATGTCTGGGGCTGTGTAAAATCAAATTCGCTTGGAGCCGAAATGTTCGCAAACACTTCTTTATTTATTTGGATAGGTGCATCCATTTTAAGGATTTTAGGTCCCCTCTGATTTATAGGTTATGCATAAGATTTGCACTGTTGTCACGTTCGACCACTCTTTGCTTGTTTAATGTTAACAAAACAAAGCACCAGCTGCCACCATGTCGTGTTATCAAAGAGGGGTTACAAATAATAATCGTTACTTCACAACATCAGTTTATTCTCAACCCTCAAACATACATGCTTGCCCGAGCTTCGGCTACGTTTACATGACATCCCTGTCATCTCTGTTGCCTAACTCCGGCGCCTATATCTTAATCTAAGCTAACAACACATTTTTATTATAAGGTACATATTTAACGGTACAACAAAAACATGAGTATTATTAATTTATTTGAAATCACATTCCTAGCTTTAATAATTTCATTAAATTACAATTACATATATAGTATATTATCCTTTTTCCTATTCGAATAATCATAAATTTATCCAAATAACAAATTTTAAAGTTTGAATATTCTAAATTGATAACATAAATGACTACGCTATTTTTATTAGAAGTGAAAACATTAAAAAAGCATTACGGAAACATATACGACTTGGTACAAAGAATAAAATTTTAAAATAATATTATTAAAGCATTAACAAATATAATTTTTGATATTGCACGATTTATAAAAAGTGATAGGCAGGTCTGGGACGTACCTATTCAAAGACTAGAAGATATAAATTTAACAAAGAAAATTTGTTATTGGAAACCGAAAGGAAGACGAAAGAAAGATGACCAAATTTGGTAAAAAGCGGCTTAAAATGATGTACGCGAGAGGAGGAGAAAAAAATGACAGATGAGATGTGAATGGCAGCAAATAGTTAGATTAAAAGATCTACTCAATGTTAAAAGACGAAACAGTGAGTCAGTAAGAAGGAAACTATAAACATTCGTATGGAAAATCCAAAAATAATGCAAATATGGATGTCTTTTTTCTGTTTGTAGTTTTATCGTTTACTTGTAAACGGGTCTTAGGAAGTGGCCTTTTGTGAGCTTTACAAAAAGTTGAGAAATAAAAACCTAACAAGCAACAGCATATAATAAATATAATCAAAGTTTCTTCACATTAAAAAAATTACATTATTGCTGATGCTTCTAATAATCAGTTGAAGATGACACTAGTTCTCTTTTTGGAAGATTATCAAAAACCACCTTCTTATATTTCGAATTCAAACGATCTCTTAGTTCTATGGTGTGGTTATAATCCCTGGTTTCACATACTACTTTTACCTGAAATCAGAAAAAAGGAATGTAGCTCAAATATATCAATATAAGCGTTACGATAAGTATGATTAAATGGAAAATATTAATAATTACCAGTAACTATTAACACAACCCGAATAGCTAGGTAAAGCATTAAATATACCCTATTTAATCACATCGGCCGGTAATTATTAATAAATTCCGTATTGCAATTGCAACGATAAACATGATAAATTTCAATTTCTTTAAGTCTGTGGAAACTTTGCGAAGTGGAGCAAACTGGCGTGGCAAGTAGCACGCGTCTAGCATGTTTCTTAAAATGTAACCAATGAAAACGAATGATTAGAATGAATGACGTCACTGTCATTTTAGTGTGCGCTGAATCATTCGTTTTCATTGATTACATTTTAAGAAACATGCTAGATGCGTGCTACTTGCCACTTGCTACGTGCCACGCCAACTTGGTGGGCGCTCTCACTAAGACGCGTATCAAACGTACTATAGTGCTATTAATAAATCTATAGTCCGAAGCGGCCACTGTATATACACTATTTAAGATGAACGAGCGGTATGGCGGTTAGAGTGTTCTGTGCATTTAGACGCCATGAAAGCATAGAATAATAAACAATCAGAATGCCCATTTTGCTTAAAAAAATAAGTACGCGCATCTCGTTCGCGCAGACTTCCCAAACGCATCTCATTCGCCTCCAAACTTCAAAGGCGGCATCTGAGAGTGAGCATTCATTCAAAATTATCATTTTATTCCTATTATAAGTAAGTCCATCTTTAATTGAATATTCCAATTCTCCGTTTTTTTTCCTACAAGTTTTAAATCTTTTTCCACAAGAGTTATCTGATGCAACATTGTGTGGGTGGGCTTCGAGCTTTAATAAGATGTAAGTAGCTGAATTTTGGATGAAATAAATCACTTTTCTATCCATTTTAATTTACTTAATTCGAGAATGTTTACTGATATTATTTTCATTTCACTAATCCCATTATTTAGCTTCCCTACCATGTACACAGGTCGTACCTCCGCTAAAAAAGAGTCACAACTCAAAAATCGCCAATAATAAGACTACAAGTATTGTGCTACACGTATTGAAATAAGTCGTACTTTCTTCCATAAAAGTGTCACTTATAATTGAACTATTTAACGCGTGGCGATGTTACACTTTTGTTTTTTACAGGTTAGCTCAGCATGCATTCCGCTACAGTGTCACCTTTGACTTTATAACAGTCTACAAGTAGCGCTTAATTCAGAAAATAGTCACATTTAGAATTGTGACAGTTTTTGTGTGAATTGTTGTTCTTTTGTGTGTGAATATGTTCTTTTTTGTGTTGTGACAGTTTTTTCGCAGTTGTAAACGAGGAAAGTACTTTTGCATGGTGCGAAGTAGTGTTACATTTTGAGTTGAGCCAACTTTTTTGAATATGTAGGTAAGTGTATTTTTTCAAACTTTTTTATGAATGTTTTGCAGAACCGACACATCCAATTTTCAAATTCACTGATGTTTTTTTTTATTATGACGATTTTTTAGAATCATTACCTAACTGGTATTTTCTTGTTTATGACTGTGTTTCATTCTTCCTAGTTTTTATTTATTATTATTTTTGTTGCAGCAAATAGGCTGGTTCCATAACATGCAAAGTTCATCGAGTTCAAGGACCTGCGGAATTATGGTCCTTGGAAAGAAAATAAAATCAGAGCATTATGCATCAGATCAAGTGCAAATCTCAGGTAATCTAATATTGAATAATAAAAAAATAGCGTCTATTATAAAACCTCCTATAAAGATGAAGAGTTCAAGCAAGTAGATCTCTGCTGAAGAAAAAACAATACCATTCCAAGTACCTTACAATAGGCCTACAAAAGTGTACTTAGAGTCAAAGAGAATAAGGAAAAGATCTCTTGGATTTGGTAAAGAATAATCACATTCCCAGTTGTTATTCAGTATTCTATAACTCTTTGCAATAATAAATACAAAAGTTTTTTCTCTATTTATTCGCATTTGTTTTGTTGTGCTCTAACAAAATGATTTTCAAGATGATAATATCTTGTTCTGAAAAAGTGTTTAAAGATGCCATAAAACGATTGGAGGCATTTGAAATGTGGTGCTACTGATGTATGTTGAGGGTCTCATATATACACCACACAAGTAACATAACTATTTTCCAGAGGCTAAGAAGAGAGCATACATTTTCCAGTAACATATAGAGGATACATCATTTATGTTTTTTAAATAACGTAACATATAAAATCAGAATTTTGATGTTTGTTGAAGGTAAACTAAATTCACGAACAAATACTTACAATGTCGGGATAGTATTATGAGGTTTTTTTCCTGGTTTTTCCCTCATAATTTACTATGGAATCACTAACAGGAGAATTTTACTGTCATCATGTCATGTGTTTGTCTTTTTAAAGACGAATTACATGCTATGATTTTTTTCTGACGGATATTCTCAAGTTAAAGTTGATTTCATGTAATCGAATGAACTATCTTATAAGTAAAGTCGTCCCAGGAGCGCAACTCAACAATATTGGCAATATCATTTTAAAGTCGTCTACTTTAAAATGCATAATGTATGTCTGAATTGTCAATATAAATGAGTCAGATAAAATTAAATTATTAGAAGAATTTTCCACTATGTAACAAAAAACAAAATTTGTTTAATTTACTGTTTGTATTTTGCGAACGATTTCCGAAGTGGAAATTGAAACGTCAATAAACGTATTTTTATCTTTAATTGTGGCTTATTCCCAGTTTAATAGTAATTAAAGAAATTATTAACACCATAAAATACAGAAAATTGGCTTACTTCGGCCACATCATGCGTAATGATAAATACCGACTTCCACAGTTGATTTTACAGGGCAAGGTTGAGCTATGTGGTCGCCCACATCTCTAGAAGATAGGAACATTCATAAGAAGAAAGTGTCACAATATCAGCATGTCTCTATTTTTCACTAGGAACTGCAAAAATTGAATTTTCTAAGAAAAATGATGCTCCAATAACACTGAGTTAATATATTACAATAAAATAACACATCAGCTTACATTTAGTCATAGAACTGATAAATAAATGTTCAACTGAACTAAAATCTTTAACATCAATTTTCTCAAAACAACGTTTTGTGAATTGTGACTCTTTTTTAGCGAATGTACGATGTATAGACTACGGATATTCCACATGGATATATGTATAGTTGAATTTTGATTTGGATTTTCCATTTATAGGTAATTCCTTCTCGCAGATATTCTTAGAAACCCCTGAACATCGGACTGAGGGCCATCTTGGTGGCCATGTATTCGCCATGATTGCTTGTTCTAAGAAGAAATAGTTCCCTTGCTTTCAGCACCGCTGTAAATACACCGAAGATGATTTAGAAAAATAAAATGTTTAAATTTACGTCTAAAAAATATCTCTTTCGACAAGAAAAAATAAAAATATACCCTTCGACTTTCATGGTGAATAGATCTGATTTATATATATTTTCGAAGTTTGCCGGCTAGGGATTTTCAAACTGAAAAGTTATAAGAGGTTAAGGGCTTCTGAAAATTGAAAGACAACCTGTAAAACAAAATTTTATTTACTTACCTCTACACTAAAAATGTCTGATGCCACCCATGCCCTTTCATGCATAATATCCTTAATAGAGACTCCAACTGACGATATAATCTTACAAAGTTCTGAGATCCCGCCAGGCCTGTCGCTGACTTTAACTTTAAATTTTACTAAACGACCATCTGCTGCCAAACCTCGTTCTATGCAGCGACCTAAGAGAGTTGTGTCGATGTTACCTCCAGTTAAAATAAGCACAACCCTAAAATAATATAAGTTTGTCGCTTATTCTTCCTCTCTTCACATTTCGATAGTCAATAGGATTTATCTTATATCATAAAGCACTAGATACAGGTATCACAACACTAGATACAGGTATCACAATATTTACCTTTTTCCTTTGAACTCCTCAAGAGTTCCACTTATTATGGCTGCCAAGCCGCACGCTCCCGCTCCTTCAACAACACATTTTTCTTTTTCTATAAACCTTAAAATGGCCACAGCTATCCATTCTTCCTTAACAACTACCTGAAAATGAATACAATTTTATATATTATTTAGATTAATTAATTTCTCATAAATCTAAAATCACCTATAAAGGCACGCGTCTACGCGGATGATCTTGTAGTTTTCTGCAAAGGTAAAAATATACAAAACATATTTAATCACACACAGAACTTCATAAAACACTTAGAACTCTGGTCACAAAAAACAGGTTTCTGTTTTTCTACTGAAAAAACTCGTTTCACCCTGTTTTCTAAGAAAAATGTCACAAACATCCCTAACCTAAGACTATGTGATGAGGACCTAAAACGTGTAACGTCAATAAAATTCTTGGGCATGACATTTGAAGAAAATATAAGCTGGAAACTTCATATAATAAATTTGATCTTATCTTGTCACAAGCGATTAAATCTTCTTAAAACTCTGGCCAATAAAGAATGGGGTGCGGATCGCCAAACACTTTTAGTGTTATACAGAACATTAATCAGATCAAAATTAGATTATGGATCTTCTGTGTATTCTACAGCCACTAAGACACTGCTAAAAAAACTTGACAGTCTTCACAATCTATCTTTACGTATAATATCTGGAGCTTTTCGCACAACACCAATCAAAAGTATTTATTGTGAAGTTGGTGAACCGTCCTTAGAAGACAGAAGACTTTATTTAAGTGTAGCATATGCCGCAAAAATCAGGTCTAACCCAAAAAACCCTACCATTAACAATTGTTTTACAGAAAAGTTTCCAAATCTCTTCATAAATAAGCCAAGAACTGCCAAACCTTTCTACGCAAGGATTAGAAGCTATTTAAATCAATTAAACTACACGTTCCCAGAATGCTATTCTTCCCAATTGTCCTCAATTCCTCCATGGCAAATAAAGAATCCTCAGTGCCTAACCCGCCTCATTTCTTTCGACAGACATTCAACAAACCCACAGTTATTCAAATCCGCCTTCAACGATATGCTTCACAACTACAAGGACTATACACATATATACACAGATGCATCTAAATCAAATGAAGGTACTGGTGCTGCAATCATAACCCCAACATCGACAAATAAATATAAACTCCCTTCAGAGTACTCCATTTACTCTGGTGAACTGTATGCTCTATACCAGGCTACCCTTGCTGTCAATGCATCCAATAACACCAATTATATCATACTCACAGACTCTCTAAGTTCAGTCCAGTCAATCCAATATGTCTACCCAACTAATCCTTTAGTCATCAAGATAAAAGAAGAAATCCACACCGCTCAACTGAATGGAAAAAATATTATACTATTTTGGATACCATCCCATATTGGAATTCCAGGAAATGAAGAGGCAGACAACGCTGCAAAAGAAGCTGCAAGTAGTGATAGTGCGGAATGTACTAAGACATTTACGAGTGCGGACGTGAAAGCAACGGTTAAATTTAAAGTGCGATATATGTGGAATGAAAAGTGGAAAGTGTCATCGGCAAAGCTACGCGATGTAAAAAAATCGATTAAACCCTGGCCCACATTACCAACAAGTCGAAGAGACCAGGTAATATTAACGCGACTTCGACTGGGTCATACGCGACTAACGAATAGCTACGTGTTCTCTAACCAACAAGAACCAAGATGTGACAACTGTGATGAAAAAATAACAGTCAAACATATATTGGAAAAATGTCCATCATTAACGCCAAAGCGCATATTGTACAGTATACCCAACAAACTAAGTGACATTTTAGGTATACAGTGCAATATTTCGAACATAAAAAGTTTCTTAACCTCACTTAATATTTTAAATTCTATATAAACTAATATTATAAATGTAATAAAAATTATTGTTCGCTAATAGCCAATTTGGCTGATGCGATTTTGTTAATAAAAAAAAAAATAGATTAATTAATTAAACTAAAGCGTGAATGCCCTAACAACTACAATAACTAAAGTTTATAGTTTGTTGACTTTCTTACCATCTTATCTACCAAATTTTTAGAAGTCAACCAAGCGTTATAGCCTACTTGAGGGACTGCAAGGCCATCAGCCAATGTGGCTTCTATTTCAGTATGTATTGGATTGGTATGTTCTATTGCATTCGTGTAACTTGCACATCTTTCCGATTCTACTCCCTAAAAAAATTGGTTGTATAGATTTAATTATGTTGGCCAACGAATTATACAGTGCTAGCCAAAAGTCCGTTCCCCCTCGTATCTTTTGAACGGTTATACTTATAATAGCGAAATTTGGAGGGAGGTAATAAACAGACGTAGGCTTCTTAAGTAGTTATAATCAGTGACGTAATAGTGACAGATAACATTACAGCGCCACTGTGACAGATAATTTTAAATATGACCTTATGGCAAGTGATACCTCGTTTGAAAGGTATTAAAAATACCTATTCATCCATACTGTATACTGTTGATTGTATACTTTCAGTGTAAAGTAATACAATCAATGCTTCCTCCCTATTCTCACTTATGGTTCCCAAACGTGGACATTTACAAAAGCAAACATGGACAAAATCACAAAAACCCAAATAGCAATGGGAAGACAAATGTTGCACATAAGACTAATGGATAAAAAAGAAACGAGTGGATAAGAGAGAAAACAAAAGTGAGGGATGTTAGACAAGAAGTTGCAAAATTCAAATGGAGATTTGCCGGACACAATATAAGACAAAAAGAAGACCGATGGAACAAAATTTTAATAAATTGGAGACCGTGAGAATATAGACGAAGCTGAGGAAGGCCCCAAATAAGATGGGCAGATCAAGAAGCATGTGGTCTCTAGGTGGATGACTGTAGCGACATACAGAGAAGAATGGAAAAGGATTGGGGAGAGAGATGAACCAAAGATGAACCGAAGAAGGCTAATTAGATAGATAGATTCATCCATACTAATTTTATTTGAGTTTAAGCTCATTTTCATGAATAAGTGGGATGATTCGGAAGTTTAAACAAACAGATAGTGTACAAGATGTCAAACGATCTGGCCGACAACAATTAGTGATGACAAAAAAATTGACATAATTTCAGAAATGGTAGTGAACCCTACTTCTTCTAAAGCACAAGTTGCATCTATCTATGGAATCAGTCAAACGACAGTACACCGAGTGTTGGCTGAAAACAAATTTCATCCATACAAATTAAAAATTGTACAGCAACTTTGATGACCCCGACCGAAGACTAGAATTCTGTGAAAATATGTTCAATAAAATTAACCAACAGCACACAATGTGAGGTATTGGAGTGACACAAATCCTCACGTCTATTTGGAGTTGGAGTGACACACATCAGGTATTTTGGGAAACCACTTAGTTGGACCTATTTTTCTCAATACTAACTTAACCAGCAAAGTGTATCTGGAGGTGTTACAAAATGCAATTGAACCGTTAATACGTGAAATTCTGGGGGATAATCCAGATTAATTCGGCAACTTGGAAATGGCCTATAATGAGCAACTTGGAAATGACGTTTCAACAAGATGGTACTGCTGCACACCATTGTGGTGCAGTAAGACGTTATATAGATGAGAAATATCGCGGTAGATGGATTGGACGACGAGGTACGATAGAATGACCAGCTCGGTCACCGGACCTCACACCATTAGATTTTTTTTCTGTGGGGAAATTTAAAATCTAAAGTTTACGCTACAGCACCCAACAATATTGACATTTTAAAACAAAAAATTGTTGAAGAATGTAGGGCAATTTCCTCCGACACATTTGAATGAGTACGTCAAGATTTTATGATATCAATAGGATGCATTAGGTACTATCAGGAAGTGGATAGAGCACATTTTGAACACTTACTATTAGAACTGGTAAAAAGGTTGGACGTTAACATCAAGTGCGGTGGGAGTTGTCGTAAAAACAATTAGAGAATTGGAAAACGTAAATTTTTTGACAAGTAACCAGAGGCGGAGGTTTTAATATTTATTAATTAAATGCGAAACTAGAATTTTAGTACCTATTTAATTTATTTATCAAAATATGTTATATGTGTACTTACAATGACTTTAATACTCGGATTTAGTGTCTTAACTGCTACGGCCACCCCAGCTAACAGTCCTCCTCCACCGGTTGGTACTATCACAGCGTCTATATCTTCTACTTGTTCTATAATTTCTAGTCCGATTGTTCCTTGGGCAGCTATCACCCGAGGATTGTCGTATCTTTAATAGAATAAACGTAACATTAGCTTATTTTTTTAATGAGAAAAGAAAGAATAATAATAAATTATAATAAATATTTTGGTTTGGCAGTGTTGGCATGTTTTTATATTGTATATGCTGTATGCTTCAATTATAAAGAGAGAAAGCTTTAGAAAAGTACATTTTGATTATATTATTTTATGAATTCTGCAATTTTTAAATTTATATAAAACAAGAACGAGTAAATATTTGTTTGTTTCGAGATTATTTGCAATTAATCATTAGAATTTTTTTTGGCAGTTGCCTTTGATAGATTAGCGAATAGATTTGGCAATCCTCAAACCACCAGTTGCCAAATTGCAACAGATGTCCACCAAATGATAATTTTAAGACCGTATTTACTCGTTCTTGTTTTAAATAAATATAAAATTTGCAGATTTATTAAAATAATATAACTAAAATGTACTTTTTTAAAGCGTCCTCCCTTTGTATTTGAATCATAAAACAATCATTATAAAAATATGCTAACACTGCCAAACTGAAATATTTTGTTCCATGATTCCAAGAAGGGAGTAAGTCACGACAAACTAGGAATCCCTTTTCTGGAAGATTCATTTTACACGTGTATAATTACGGTTGACTTAAAGAACCAAAAAGAATAATTAATAATTTGATTTCATTGAAAGTCACGGGGAGACGCTGTCTAGTAAATTACTAGTAGGTGCAATGAAAAATGCTCACACTCTCTATGTCGTTCTCTGAATTTGAATTTGTCTATAATTTATCATAGGTAAGTAGCTTAAAATCGTGATGACATGTTGATATTTTTCAAATTACAAATAAAGAAACTGGCAAAGCGTTGTGTTTCTGAGCTATAAATTGCCCTGAATACATTCAAGTTACAGAAAGCTTTTTAGAAAAGTCATTTTTCATATTAAGGTTAGAAAAAAAGGAGAAAAAACAATGAATGATACATTTTGGTCATTTATTAGGAGCTATAGAAACTCATAGGAACTACTACGGCAAAGAACATAACACCTGTGCATATTTGTTATAGATAGGTACTTGAAAAGCACAATTATAATCTTGTATTTTAGAAATTTTTTACTTACCCATTAATAAAAGTCCATCCCTTTTCTGCCGCCAGTTGCATAGCTCTTTTCTTCGCTTCTGCCATATTCCTTCCTTCCATAATGACGTTAGCATTATATTCTTTACATTTTTGTATTTTCATTATTGGAGCTGTTATTGGCATTACCACTGTTACTGGAATTTCCAATTGGTATCCATGATAACTAATAGCTTGAGCGTGATTTCCCAAAGAAGCAGCAATGACCCCTCGTTTTTTCTCCTCTGGTGTTAGTTGTATCAAAGCGTATCTTGCTCCACGTTCCTTAAAACTAAAACAAATAATTTGGGTTTAATTTTGTCGTTTACATAAATATTACACCATTGTTATTTACATTGACACCAAAACTTTTGCCGAAACGACTGATTCCAGTTTTAGAAGAAAATAAATTTATTCCAGACGACAAATTAAAAACAAAATATGGAGCAGTTGAACCGGTCCATAGAATAGTAAAAAAAATCTCCTTCGTGCTAAAATCCACAGAAGTAAAATCTACAAAGAAGCATACTGCGACGTTTTCTTTATTTGATCTACACTGCAGATCTTCCTAGCAACGATATAGAAGTTTGTATCTCCTTCAATGCCACCTAATTTTTAGATCTGTTAAATATCTGTTTTAATAAAATCAAAATTTCTTTAAAAATAACAACTTGGAGAAAATGACACCAAGTGGCGAATAAATTAAGATCAATTCTTATAATAAGATTCTAATAGATTCTGAGGTAAATTAGGTAATTGAATCAGACGTTTACATTTCTCCAGAGCTGCTGAAGTGGAGTCTGTTAATTCTGTGCTAAATTTTGTATGTTGTATGTAACCAAGTGCCCCATCTCTGGATCATCAAACAAAAAAAATACACTATGTGTTAAAGTACTGAAAAGAGAATGCCAAAAATGACATTGTAAAGAAATGTCAATGTTTGTTTTTTATTTTTAGAAATAAATTTATTAACAATGAAAACATTAATGGTAAAACAAACAACGAAATTTATAACAAATATTTTCCTTCAATAAAAGAATGGCTGCATAACTTTAAAAACATTTTGGTGACTAATCGCAGAACATGTTGATGATGAATCTTGATGTTTTATCAAATAAAATGTGTAAGCTTACCTTCCAGTTTGTTGCAGAAAGTCTTTTTTTAAATATATATCCATCCCAGTCATACTAGACATATGAGATCTCTAAAAATGGAAAAATATTAATATATTTTACCACTTACATAAACTACTATGAATTGAAACAAAACTTAATCGCACAAATCACAAGATGTGACGTCATCGTTTATCCTGATGAACCAAAAACACGAGAGGAAGTAGGAATAGAAAGGGAGGTTACTCTCATTATTTTGCAGGAATACTCCTATAATATTTCAAGCTCATTAGATTTTTGAGCTAAATGGTGTTTAAAGAAACGCCTCAATTCAGCCAAAATATTTATTTCTTCAGACAGTAACAATTTGCAACAACAAAAGAGTCCCTTAAGCAACTGGCAGGGTGCAACAAAACTAGTCTTGGCAAAGAAGAAGCTAATACTCCTTTTACCGGACCAGAGCCATCTTGTGCTGTACTAAAACTTCTGCATAATGAAGGATGTCCTAAAATTCGGCAGAAACTTAGTGTAGCCTACTGGGAAAAAGTTTCAGACCAAAAGTAAGTAAAAAAGTTAACCTTCTGCTCGCTATGTAAAAATATTTTGGAGCATTGACAGATTGAACTCAGTCAATACAGTTGTTCTCACTGGATACTGCTGACTGAGATATCATCTCTGTAAAACGAACAATGTTGACAACAGAGCAACATGTAGCTCCAAAAGCTCCAAAATATTTTGGAGTTGTAAAAGATTAATTTCGGGATCCATTTCGAACAGCTCTTTTAAATGGATACTGCTAAGATCATGGACGTATAAATAAGTCCATGGCTAAGATATTATCTCTATGTAAAGAATAATGCTCATAGAGCATTGTTGCTCATAGAGCAACATGTAGATTTTGAGAAACTGCAGAGGAAATGGCCTATAATGAACTTTTTTAGAAGCCTATATTTGTTGGACTCTAGACAAATTTGGGTGGAAAAGTCCAAGATGCCAATCGATTCCTTGGAAATCTACAATTATATGAATGAAAAAATATTAAAAAATGAAATGGATGTCAAAATAAAAAAAAAGTTGTATAAATAAATAGATTTTAGATAGAAACATTTATTTTTCTTACCACACATGGAGTGTATGCTACTCCGCTCCTTATTTTGTAAGCCGCTGATGTTATTTCCTCGAATGGGACCATTACGGGTTTTTTTGGGTTGCACATTGGATCTTCATAATCAATTTCTAGTTCCTAGAAATATATAAATCAATATATTAGTCCAGTAAACATTGTTAAAACTTCTTAATCCTTAGAAAGGCGGCTATTAATGCCTAGGAATCATTTTTACTAATGAGCATAAACAATTTATTAAATAATATCCATAAGTTGCCTATATAAACTTTAATTAATTTGTAACAATAAAACACTGAAAACTTTGTTTTCAAACTTTCACAAAATTTATTTTAAATCTTATCACTACAGCTGTTTCAGCTGTTTCGGTTGATAGCCTTTCTCAAGTGATCTATTTTTGGCTTAGGTTTACAAATTTATAGTCGGTTGAGTATGAGTATAGGTTGAGGAGGGGAGAACTGTTTGTCTCAAGTTGGTCATTCAGAATTATATCTGTGTTTTTTAATTTGTTGATTTCCATAGATTCTAACAAAGATAGCTTAAGGCCTTTATTTTGAATGTGAAGAATTTTAAATTTGTCATTAAAAGAATGATTATGATCTAGAAGGTGAAGTGCGTATGCCGAATCTGTTTTTCTATTCTTGAAAGCCCTTTTATGTTCTGCTATTCCTTTATCAAAGTTTCTACCAGTTTGACCGATGTAAGTTTTTGGGCAGTCGCCACATTGAAGTTTGTACACACCACTATTTAAGTGTTTTTTATTTTGGCTCTTGTTATTTTTAATATACCTAGGCAAATAACAAATAACAACCTAGGCAAATATATTTTAATATATCTATACCTCCCCGTATGAGAAATTGCAAGGAAGACAAACATTAGAACCATAGAATAATTTTTTTTCCAGAATTATGCTAGACATTACTCGTTATAAAAAAGTATTTGCCAATTGTATATTTTTGGAAGGAATAAGGTACAGACAAAATTATGATTTAATGTTATCTAAAATAAATTGATAGCTTATTTTTAATTTCGGCTGATATTTGATGATACATTGACCCCCTTTTTATTGTTAAGTACTACTGTATGATTAGATACTTATACGGTACCACGTGTAATAATTTATATCTAAATTATATAGACATAAGTATTTATAGTATATAATGAAAATCTTCCGTTGAATAATAAACTCTCTGAAGTCCTCGGGACTTTAGAAGACCCGCTATAAGAATTTCTCGACCATCTTTTTCATAGCGTCGTCCGTTCTGCGGGTAGAGACAGAGTCCAAAATGAGGGTCCTTCCTATTCGTTCCTCCATATTTTTATTTGTAAAGTAATCAGTTTTGACTCAACTTCTCAGTCATCAGTTTTATTTACGAAAAATCGTATTTTAGAAATCAAAATTTGCAACAAAAATCGTACCAAGTCAAAATAAACACAGTAAAAGTTATTGGATTTATTTGTTACGTTCTTATGCTATTAACTCATTACTATTGGCATGTTCTTAATAACACCAACAAGTTAGTAGCAAATCAGAGACACATCATCTATTGCCTACATAAGCATACAACACCTTTCAAAATTTCGCTTAAAACATGGCTGATGCGTATAGGATAAAGGCCAAATAAGTCACCTGTTAAATTAGTATCACTATCTACCACCAGTTATAAACATTTGCACACGACATAAATTGAAGATTTATTTTCAAAATATCATCATTCCATATGCTTTAATAGTATTATTAACAATAATAACATGTGATTTTAGAATCACGTGGCTCTGATCTATGTTTATTTATAATGATAGTTTTACTTTTATTTAGCAACATTTCAAAATTTTTATTCTTGAAAATTCGCACAAATAGTTAAGGTCAACAAATCAAATACACCGCCAAATATTGCTAATAGCAATTTGGGTTTGGGCGATGGACCAACTACTCATCCCTGGAAAGAAGCTTAAGATACGGAACTAACATATGATCCTCGGAGTATAGGAAGGATTGGTCGGTGACGTCTTTGGCAACGAAATATGAAATGCTGATGCGCAGGGAAACCTATTAAATAATCTGTCCAGACATAAAATCACAATTGCAGCAATTCAAGAAACAAAATGGTTAAGTAATGAGATCAGAGATATAAAAACACACACTATTTTACAAAGTGGTAAGCCAACTAGCAGTAAAGAGGTGGAAGTTGTAACATCGTCTCCGCATCGTCAGGGCTCTGTGGATACGCACTCCCGCGAAAAAAAAGAGTCAATCGATGTTTAAAAAGCCTTCGACCAAGTCTCACATGCTGAACTGGTCAAGAAACTATTGAACTATTTTCCAGCCTACAGCTGCAGTTCCACAAGGTTCTGGTCTCGTAACAACATCTCGAGACGCAGATGTTCTATGTATGCTTACTCAAAATCGCCTTGACCGGGTCGACATGTGGTGTGGGAGATGGCGAGTAACACCTAACCCTAATAAAACACAATTGATTATATTTAGACTCCCCAATCTCAGCGGATACATTAATATCCTGGAGGCAACTCCACTTTTTTACCACCGTAACTAATAAAAAGCTCACTTTGAGCTTTGCTACGGACAGGGTGGAATCGGTTTACTGTGGTTTCCCAATCCCGTTGCACAATTATGAAAAGGACATTTTAACTCAGAGCCTATCACCTCTGACCACCATGGATACCACCTTCTCCGCAGGACTATAGCCACCGACGCGTACCATCAGTCAGCACAATGCAGCGACAAAGGCCGACACCAAACAAAAACAAACGTCGGAGTTCCGCTAGAGTGCTGATCTAGTGGAAACTCCACCGGGCCTCTGGGTATTGAATGTAAGCCAACTGTCTGAGTTCCTTCAGAGTGTGGATCTAATAACAACTTCACTGACACGCTTTCAAGGAAAACGCAGCAAGCATGGGGAATGGTTGATGTTCTTGATGATGGTTGTGTAGTGAAGTGTAAGTGGGTATACAAACGAAAGGTTGACAACTCAGGTAAAGTGAAATATCATGCAAACTGGTCACAAAGGGTTACACTCAAAAGTTTGGAGTCCTTTTTTCCAGTCATAAGGCATTCTACCGTAAGACTTGTATTTGCTTTGTCAGCAAATTTGAATTTGGATATTTTTCATCTTGACGTAGCGACGGCTTTTGTAAACAGTGATCTAACAGAAAATGTTTTTATGACAGTATTTGAAGGTTTAGAAGTTAAAAATAACAAAGTGTTAAGGGTCAATAAGGCCATGTATGGTGTAAAACAGTTAGCACGCCTTGGTATGAAAAAATCGATAACTTCGTAATTAATCTAGGTTAGAAGAAATCTGATTATGAGCCATGTCTTTACACAAAGATGAAAAATAGTCTAAAAACCATTATTTCTATATATGTTGATAATTTTTAAAATTTTTCCCAATGATTTAAATGAATCAAATAATTTAAAGTTGAAATTAAATGAATGTTTCTTTTTTTTTATTGAGTTTAATGCGTCGACAACTAATGGTCATTGGCATGGTACAGTGAATTTTTACAGTCAGATACCTAGTGTAGTGTGTGTGTGTGTGTGTGTGTGTGTGTGTGTGTGTGTGTGTGTGTGTGTGTGTGTGTGTGTGTGTGTGTGTAGAGTAATTGTCTTGATACTTAGCAAAGTCGACGTCATTGTCTTTGCTAAGATACGCTAATTGTATCCGAACGTCTGCGGTCCCTCCGGTGAGTACCGATCGCACAAGGATAGGAATTATTTTTATTCATTAATTTTTAATAAACGAAAATTTCTCCACCCAGGTGAGATTCGAAGATTTAGGAGAAATTAAGAACTGTTTAGGATGAGAGTAACTAGTACTAAAGAGATTCGAAAAAGGTTGTTATCCCAATGGAGATCCGCTTAAATTTGAATAGAGACGATAATGCATCTCCTCAAGTGCCTTATCAGAATTTAGTCGATGGTCTTACGTAGGTATCTGTCAGTTTTGACAAGACCAGACATTTCATATTCTGTAAGTTATCCCAGTCAATTTAATAATTATCATTCAGAAATGCATTGGAAACATGTAAAGAGGATATTACAATACTTTAAGGCTACAACAGAGTATGGTTTAAGTTTTTTAAAAAATGATAATTGTTTAAAAGGCTATGTAGATGCGAGTTGGGGGAGTAATTCTCAAGACAGAAAATCTTATACTGATTTCTATTTTCAGTTTTCTGGTGTACCGATTGTCAGGGAAAATAGAAAACAGAACAGTATTTCTCTGTCAAGCATAGAAGCCGAATATATAGCAGTATCGGAAGCTGCTAAAGAGGATATGTTTTTTAAAAATTTGGTATATGAGATGTTCGGTATTGATGAAATCGTTATACACTTCTTCTTACGGTGCCTTATCCTTAAGAACGTTGGCCATTACATTTGCCCATTTAATCTTATTTGTAGCAGCCCTAAATAGTTCTATGGAGGTCATGTTCGTCCATTGCCGTAGGTTTTTAAGCCAAGAGTTGCGTCTTCTTCCTGGTCCTCTTTTGCTATTGACTTTGCCTTCGATTATAAGTTGGAGCAGTTCATACTTTTGATTTCTTATGATGTGACCAAAATATTGTGTTTTCCGTTCTTTTATTATAAGCATAAGCTCTCTTTCCTTATTCATTCTTAGCAAGACTTCCGCATTTGTCGTATGGCTCATGTAGGATATTCTGAGCATTTTACGGTAACACCAGAGTTCGAATGCTTCTGTCATTGTCCAGGCTTCGACACCATAGATCAAGGTGGAGAAAACATAGCACTTAAGTATTCTAGTTCTCAATGAGATGCCCAGCTGGCGGTTGCATAGAACTTTTTGCATTTTGTAAAACATTGTACGTGCCTTTTCCAGGCGTATTCTTATCTCTAGTGAGTGGTCCCAAGTTTCATCAAGATTACTTCCAAGGTACGTTGTTCTTGTTACTCTTTCCAGATCTGTTCCATCGACATTGACCTTCACCCTTCTGTTTTGGTGCTTGCTGATGACCATCGTTTTTGTCTTCTTTGTATTCAATTTCATTCCAAATTCTCTGCAGGCTGTCGTTACTCGGTTCATTAAGCGTTGCAGGGCATCAGCATTATCTGCCAGTATGACAGTGTCATTAGCATATCGCAGGTTATTTATATATTGCCCGTTTATAATTATACCATCCGAGGTGCCTTCCGAAGCTTTCTGAAATATCTTCTCAGAGTAAACATTGAACAGCAAAGGTGATAGGACACATCCCTGTCTTACTCCCTTCTCGATATTGATTTTTCCAGATGTTTCACTTTTTATTCTGATTTTAGCCTATTGTTCTTGGTAGAGGTTTGAAATGATCCTTAAGTCTTTATCGTCGATATTACATGACCTTAAAATATCTATTAGTTTATCATGTTTCACAACACAAGTATATATCAGAATCGACATCTCTACATCTTTTAACTAGCACATGTATTGAAAAAAGTGCTTCTCTTGTTCCGAACCCATTCTTAAAACCAAACTGAGTTTGACCAGTGTGTTCGTCTAGTTTATTGTATACTCTATTGTGTATTACTCGTAGGAAAAGCTTCAACATATGATTCATCAGGCTAATAATCCTATGGTCTTCACATTCCTTGGAGTTTCTCTTCTTTGGTAGTGGTATAAACACCGATGTCAGCCAATCATTTGGTATTATGCCTGTTTCGTATATTTTGTTAAATATATCTTCCATTACTTCGATGTGTTCATCATACTACATAATGATAATCTGGGAGCTCAGAAATTAGCAATAAATTCTGTATTAAATAGAAAAACGTAATACATTGATATTGTTTTGTCAAGGAAGCTGTAAACAAAGGTTTGATAAAGCTAGAATATTTAGACACGGCTAAAGTGCCATCTCTTTACAAAACACTTGAGTCTTGTAAAACATAACAAGTTTTTGAAACAGATTGGGTTAGTTAAAATTGTGTAAGAAACATTTATTAATAGTATTTTTTTAAATTTGTTTATCTAGTGGGAGTGACGGATGTAGATATATAAATTAAATATTTTCTAACAGTGCCATCTAGTGGCCACTTTACTAATTATTGTATTGTGCCACCTTTTTGTTTCAAGGTAGTAGCAAAAATATAGCCATAGAGTAGCTGTGCTTTACCACATGTTGTATTTTTTTATCAAATCTCCATTTTTGTTCGACAGTCCTATAATTTATCAACACCTTAAACATCTAACAACCTACTCCCACAAGGAAGCAAGAAAATTGTACCTTTATCCAGAAGTCAAGACGAAGATTAAAGACACACTAACCAATCGATATATGAAATCAGTAACAAGATAGATTAGGAAATATGTCACTGGCTATATGACCAAAGTTCCGAGCCAACAAAAACACTCAAGCCATCAGTAGTGCTAGTATTTGTGTTACTTTGAGATAAAATATTACATAATAAAATTGCTTACCGATTTTATACAAGTAGTAATTTTCATATTATAACAGTTTTCTTTTTGGAATTCATCAATACACTCGACTTTATTAATCAAATACAAATGGTTACTGATTTGAAACTAATACTTTCTTGTTATCAAATATAAAATAAAACAATCATTAAATAACCAAATCAACTGTGGCTACAGAATAAAGAAAATTATTCTAGTTATTAATATTTATATTAATTATTAGCAATTACAAGATATAAATAGTTTTTGGTAATAAACAACATATGAGAGAAAGAGTTCAATCGATTTATGTAAACTAATTTACTAGTTCCAAAAATATCATTGCTTTGTACGTAGGTATAAAATTTGATCGTTTATTCCCCATTTGATAATATTGTGTTTACTTTCAGTGTATGTATTTGTAATAAAACATAATAGAGAACGTTGAATCTGTTTATTGTGAACTTTGATATATTCAGAGGCGCACCCAGGAGGATTTTGGGGGTTAAACCCCTCCCCTCTCTAGGGCACCATTCCGACACTATTCCTCACAAATTTTAAGGACATAAAATGGAGGTAACATAAAAAAAATTTCGGTGCCCAATCAAAACCCCCTACAGGTAAATTCTGGGTGTGCCACTGGATCTATTACTTATTCATAGCTCATAGTTTTGTTTATACAGGCTGATTGATTATTGGAAAGCAGATCTATTATAGTAATATATCAGTTTAATACAAAAAAAAATATATAGCTTTAAACTCCATATTTTAAAATTATTCGAAAACTTATAGTGTTTCATAACGGCGTACATCAAAGTCTTCTTTAGGTCGCAAATTAGGTCGTAATTCTGTAAGAACCAAAGAAGAAGTTTTGACAAAGCAGGTCATAAAGTTATTAAAATATTTTAATGAGATAAATCCCACAGAAATAAAAAAATGTGCCTATAAATACAAGAAAAAAATTTACATCATCCATTTTCCAAAGAAAAAGAAATTGCTGGAAGATGGCTTGACGGCTTCCTTAAAAGAAATCCAACTAAGGCGACAAGTATTAACCGCATATCTGCTTTTAACAAAACTAAAGTAAACCTATTTTTCTCTAATTTAAAATCCATATTGGATAAATATAAATTTCCGGCATCCAAAATATATAATGCAGACGAGACAGGCATAACAACCGTCCAAAAACCCGGAAAAATACGTGCTGAAAACGGACAAAAGAGAGTCGACTTTATTACAAGCGCAGAAAGAGGTCAAACAACAGCCATTATGTGCTGCATAAGTGCCTGAAATATCGAGACGAGTAAGAATGGGATGGGCAGCGTTCGGCAAACTTTCTTACGTTCTAAAAAATCAAACAATCCCTCTATACTTACGAAGCAAGGTATATAACTCCTGTATAATACCGGTACTCACCTACGGAGCACAGGCATCGACATTTACACAGGCCAATTTGGATAGGATAAGTAAGGCACAAAGAGCGATGGGGAGACAAATGTTGGGTGTATCACTTAGAGATAGAAAACGTAACCAGTGGATCAGAACCAAAACAAAGACAGTAGACGCGATAGAACAAGCAGCAAAACTGAAATGGAAATGGGCTGGACACAATGAACGTCTCCAAGACGGACGATGGAACAATGCCATCGGAAAGTGGCGTCCATACAATGCAAAGAGATCAAGAGGCAGGTCACAAATGAGGTGGAAAGATGACATCAGGAAACAAGGAGGTCCCACATGGCAGAGAACAGCTCAAGATAGGGAAAGATGGAGAGAACTGGGGGAGACCAATATCCAACAATGGAAGGATAGAGAATAGGTTCAAAAAAAAGTGCCTCAGGAACATATATTCCACTTTTGTTTATTTATGCTCGCAAAAGGATGAAATCAGAGTTAAAGAAAAATGTGCCACCTGGTGTAGTCTACTGCTGTTCGGATAATGGGTGGATAAATGAGCAAATATTTCTCGAATGGCTCCAGCATTTTTACAGCGACAAGAACCTTTACATCGTTAAAATCAGCGTATAATATTGAATGTGGCAATTATCTTCGAAGTCATCCTCATGAGCGTATCACGACATTTGAAATAGCTGAAATATTTAAAAATTCATACGGTCGTGTAGCCACACCAGTCAAAGCCATTACATGTTTTGAGAATACAGGAATATTTCCATATAATCCTAAAAATTTTACCGATGAAGACTTTGCTCCAGATGAATCATCCATATGAGAAAAAGATAATAAGACACTAGACCAAGAGAAAAAAAAAAAGTGAATCAGATAAGGAGAAGAATGATAAGAAAGTTAAGGTGAGTAAAGAAAGTTCGACACATGACAAAAAGTTTGAAGTATCTTTTGTTCACATAATTCAACTACCAGGATGCTCAAAAAACAGCGGAAGAAGGAAGAGTAAATGAGAAATAAAGCCAGCAAAGGAACCAAACGAAAAATAGGCATCGAAGAGTCTAGTCCTCCGTGAATAGTTCCAAAAAGAAATTGTATAAGAACACAGAAGATATATCAACTGAAGATGAGGATGATGACGATGACCGTGATAGGGACGTTAACGAAGATATTTGCACAATTTGTGGCGAATTCGGTAAAAACAGAGAACTCTGGATCCAATGCAGCATTTGCGGACAATGGGCACACAAAGATTGTACCACTTTGGAAGAAGCAAAATTTATATTTGCGATTCTTGCATTTAATTATTTTTTAAATGGGGGTAATAGTGACATAGGTCACTTTTACCCCTCGGCAGCGGGTAAATATGGCCACCATCAGAAGTCTGGAAAACCGTTTTAATTTTTTTTTTCTTCTGTTTAAAAATTTTTCGTAAATAGAGTTTGAAGTACTAAGGTTTGAAGTTTTATTTACGATAACAGTATATTTTTTAAAGCTATGTATCAGTAAAAAATAAACCAAAATGTTTGGGCGATCACTATTCCCACCCTTTCCCTTATAAATATATTTAAGATAGGTTTGTTTGTTATAATAACAATAATTTAATGTTTTCTTTACTATCTTCTTATATTTATTTTATTTTTAATTTTGTTACTTTATGTATGTACGCTGTATACTTTTATTTAAATTTTAACAAGATCTTCCTATTTTGAAGTCGAAAGGTTAATAATAGAGAACGTAGTATGTAATGACCCATATGTGTAATGTACGTCTTTCTCAAAACATATTTTAACCAAAGAAACATCCACATTTTCTAATTAAGTAAAAAAATAAAGAATCGTTCAGTTATGAAGCACCCACTAAGTTCGTGATGCGACATACTTTTCTTTCCAAAATTTTACAAATTTTATTTAAATACCACATCCAAATTTTCCATTACTAATATTTACCAAATATTTATAGACTTTGTAAGTTTTATGGGTCACTAAATGTAACAAATATATATCACAAATCTCTATATATCCAACTCTATATATCCACAAGTAAAATTCAACATAAAAAAAAACTTACACCTTCCGATTCCTCCGAGTAATCTGGTGATTTCGTGTAGTTTTCCATGCTTTTCTAGGCTGGTGAAAAATTAAAAAAGAACTCACAGTACAACAACAATAAAACAGTGTCTAACTCACTGACATGCACTAGTTAGTTCGACTAAAAACGTCTTCTTGACCCCTCGCAGAGTTATCACTTGTTTTGTGAAAGATAAAGTTTATTTTTATTTCGGATTGAATAAATGCTAGGCACTAACATAATAGTTTTATAATTGTAGGAATTGTATTAACGCATTTTAATGTGTTTTTGGATGGATTTCTCGATAATTTGATAATTGGTAGACAAAGAGCAGTTTTATGAGTGGTTTCTTGATTTATACATTTCCTTATCTGCTAAAGATTATGATTACCTTACTGTAATACGTATTGTTACGTTATTAAAAAAATAGTCTACAGTGATGTAGTATTTTTTAATCAAATTAATATCAAACACATAGGGTAATTCTAGGAGAGATGTTGTACAAAATTTATAGCATCTGAAAAGCTCCAAAATTACTTGCGTACATTGGAGAATTTATTTTTATTTTTACGCACAACAGGCCGTTAAGGCCTAGGGCATTATTTTTACACATAATCCTAATATTAACTAATTACAATTATTTTAAACAAAACTTTAACTTAAATATGTATATAGGTACAACATTCTTAACTACTCTGAAGGACCTGGTGGACAATATTTCTCCATTCGCTTCTATTTTGTGCTTTTCTTTTTCAGTCCCTCACCTTCACGTCTTTAAGGTCTTCCTCCACTTTACTAATCCACCTCGTTCTGGGTCTACCTCTTCTTTTGAGGACGATTAGTTTTCTGGTTATTACTAGTTTGGGCATTCTGTTTGCTGCCATTCTTTCCATATGTCCCAACCATCCGATTCTTTGTGACTTGACGAACTTGGTAATGGTAGGTTCTTTGTATAAAGCCATTAATTCATTGTTGGTTCTTCTCTCCCAACCATCTTCTGTCTTCCATCCTCCGAATATGCGTATCAATATTTTCCTTTCCCATCTTTCCAGAGTATCCTCTTTCTTCTTACTTAATATCCATGTCTCACCGGCATATGTTACTGTGGGTTGAATTACTGTTTGATATATTCTAAGTTTACTTGTTTAGAAACGTATTTTGAGTTCAGTAGGGCTCTTAAACTACCTAATTTTTTATTCTTTTTTGCTATTCTGGCTTCGAGCTCCCATTTCTCTTTTCCATTTTCATCGAAAACTATACCCAAGTATTCAAATTTGTCCACCCTTATAAAACTATAGCTTTTACCACTTGACCTCACACTAAAGTCTTCTTTTTTCCCTTCTATCTCTCCCATGATCATATATTTTGTCTTCATTTAGTTCCAATCCGAATTTCTGTGCTTTTTTGATGATTTTCTTCACAGCTCTTCTTAATCCTTTCTCGGTCTTTGCTAGGATCGTTAAATCGTCAGCAAATGCTAAGCACTGGTGCTCATTTTTCAAGATTGTTTTTTCCACCTTCGTGTTGAATTTTCTGATTACAGTTTCTAACACTAAGTTGAATAATGTAGTGGATAAAGGATCTCCCTGTCTCAAGTCTTTTGCAACCGTAAATTGATCTGATTTGTGACCCGCCAAGCAATTTCACACTTAGAGTTATTTAATGTCATTTTTACTAGCCGGATCAGTTTCTTTGGTATACCCAAATGTTCCATTGCTGGATACATTTTGACTCTATCGACTCTATCATATGCTTGTCTAAATTCTACAAACAAAACATGCAGGGGAACTTTACCTTCATAACAAGTCGTTTATATCTTCTTTAATGAGAAGATTTGGTCTACAGTAGATCTGTCCTTTCTAAAGCCGGCCTGATGTTCATGTAGGATTCTTTCCGTGTAGCAATTAAGTTTATTGCTCAATATTCTTACCAAGATTTTGTATACCGTGTCTAGTAAGGCTATACCTCTATAGTTGTCACACTTCAGTTTGTCTCCTTCTTTATGCAGAGGGCCTATGCGGGCCTCATACCACTCAGATGGCATTATTTCCTTTTCCCATACTTGCACTAGTAGCTGATATATTTTTCTTTGTATTGTTCTCCACCAAACTTGATCATTTCTATACATATGTCATTTTTACCAGGACTTCAGTTATTTTTCATTTCTTGTATTGCTGTCACCACCTCCTCCTCGGTAGGCTGCCTTTCAACTATCGCATCTTCTCCAACCAACCAGTTGTCTACTGTTTCGTGGTCCACTTCACCATTTAATAATTCTTCAAAATGTTTTTTCCATTCCGTCATTATTTCTGCCGGATCGCTAATTAAATTTCCGTCTTTACCTTTCATATAACTACAGTGGCTTTGGTAACCTTTTCCCATCTTTTACTCTTCTTGATGGAACGACCTCACCTCTTTGTTTTTAAACTTCTCTTCTATCTCTTTTAATTTCAACTTATTGTGGTATCTCTTTTTTCTTCTACACAGAGCTTTCAATCTTCCTCGAATTATGCTATATTCTTGTTTTTTTACACTGTCTATTATCTGTTAATATTGCTATATTAATACAAATAATCTTTGTTTGTACTTCTCTTGGAGTCGCGCTTAACTATTTTCTCGCTAGCTTCTTCTACGGCAGATTTAATTTGTTCCCAAGCTTGATCTGTCTGTAAATTTTGGTCACATTGTTGTAGAATTTTATTTATTTCTTCTTTATATTTATTTTTTAGTTCTACTTCCTTTTTCAATGTTGTACTTTCTCTTCGTTTTATGGTTCGATTTCTCTTTTTCTTCCAGCCTTCTCCCACATGTGACTTTAACGAGGTAGATAATGGTCCGAGTCGATTTCAGCTCCTCTCATACTTCTTACCTTCTGAACGATATTCATATATTTACTTTCAATCATAACATGATCTATTTGATTTTGATATTTATATTTCAATCATAACATTGGAGAATGGGTTGACAAAATGGAAAATTAAAGGCAATAACGAAAAATCAGCCCACATTTACAACGAGTAGACCCACTTGTCCACAAGTTAGTCTAAACAATGGTCTCATTCCTGATAGAGACGTTGTGAAATATATTGGGTTGCATTTGGATCCAAAGCTGACCTGGAAGCAACACATTAACGCCAAAAAACTTAGCTCAATATAAGATTAAAATAAATGAATTGGTTACTTGGCAGAAAGTCACAACTGTAATTGGAGAACAAAATGCTGCTTTACAAAGTCATACTAAAACCAATGTTGTATGCTTACGGCGTAAAATTCTGAGACTATAGCAAGCCTTCAAACACAAAAAACACAAAAATTTTGCAGACCTTTCAATTAAAAACACTGCGTATGATAGCTAACGGCCCTTGGTATGTGAGCAATGCAACCATCCACAGTGATCTAGGGGCACCAACCGTAAAGATGTCATATCACTCCACGCCAACAAGGCCAAAATTCTTAATTCAACGCACCACAGCCAAATTATCAGTGAAATATATCAGCCACCAATGGAGGAACGAAGACTGAAGAGGACTTGGCCAGACGACCTGGTTACATAGGTGAAAATGGAGAACTGCCGCTGGATGGTACCCAAGTCAAGTCAATATTGTCATCACAATTACTAGTTACTCAATGTAGGTTTCAGTAAAGCAAGATTATATTTTAAAAAAATTTTATTTACAACGTTTCAGCATTAAAATTTTACAAACTTTTAAAAGAATCTTAATAAATAATGTATAACAGGTTACTTTTATATATTTTTTACAAAACTAAAATATGTTGTCAAATAAGAATTATGTATTTATAAATATTTATTCTTTGGAAAGTATACACCACCTTTTTATTACAACTAATATAATCTATAATTAATATAAATAGAAATTAACAAATTACAATGGTTATGTTAGAGTGTAGCTTGTGTTATAATACTCTAGAGCAATCGCTTTATTAGTTTTAATCAACGTTTCGTCTGCTGTGAGGAGTACAATGGGAGAAATTTATTTTTGTTCTTAAGTATATTGACTACTGGTAACAGTATCCAATGGTTTATCTTTCCGATTGTAGTCCTAAAGTTGTTAAAACGGAGTTCAAAGAAGTTGAAAATTAAACGTTGAGTATAACTTAAAAAACACGAAAGTCTCTATTAAAAGGACCAGTAGCGTACCTAGAATTTTCCTGTGGGTTTTAGTTGGGCACCGAAATTTTTTAAATTTTTTTAGGCTACCTTTTTTATATTGTGTGTAACAGTGGCACACCCCCCCTCCTGGGTGTGCCACTGTTATGGACATTTAATTAACCCTTTCGCTGCGCAAGCCTGATATATTCGCAATTTTTTTCATGCTCTAAGTGCGCGAGTAATCTATCGAGTGATGGCCAGAACAATTATCGGAAGATAGTTTGACCAATACGAATAAAGTGACGTGATTACAATTTATACGCTATACGGAGTGAAAACATGGACTCTCCATAGTTTCTCTAGACTCTCCAAGTTGACATATTCTGAATTTTGATCAAAACCGCTATTAACACACTAATATTCCTACAAATTATGTAACGTGATACGACAATTTTTTTAGAATTCAGCAGCGAAAGGGTTAATTAGCTATAGATGTCAAATATAATGTATAGTATAAATATCAAAGAATGGCTACAAAAATGATTAAATCACTAAAAAATAAAAATATTTTTTATATATTATACATTTTACACATATACCCCTATAAAAAATGAAGAGAAAAGAAGTTTTCTACTTTTCTACTCACGTTAATATTCATGTTAATATTAGTTTTCCATTTCAACTTTTTTCTTTTATTTCTTGCTCTTATTTTCTCAATTTCTTGTGTTAACATGGGTAACCTGCATCTCATCGTCCCATCCATTTTTTAAATTATTTTTTTTGTGGATAATATTCAGTATGTGGCTCAAAGCAGATCTGATTTTCCTGAATTTTTAGTGTAAAATGCGATAATTAGAATTTAATCGATTTTCCATTTTTTTTTACTGAATATATATATATATATATATTATTATACTTCTTCTTCCACAAACGCGGAAGGAACAAAAATAATTAAGGAATCCATCGGAAGTAAGTTTTTAAGAAATCTGAAGACAAAATATGTATTAATTTTAAGATAGAAAGTTTGTATATTTGTAAATAGATAGATTAGTACCGAAATTTTATGACTTATAAAGAACTAAGCCATTCTAAACGAGTTATTGACAAACCATTTGTACATTATAGAAAATAAGCTGTTACCTGAAGGATTAGTCCGGTATTGTGTTGTATAAATCTTCTATTATGACTAAGGCAAAAATCTTTGAAATGTATAAAAATTATTTGTTTACAAGGAAATGACCATTGTTAAAAGATTAAAGTTCCTTGCTTGAAAACGGTAATTAGCATTCCAACAAGTGTGGTAAACAAATTTGGATTTTGTGATGAGACGATCTTTTTGGAAGGAGAAATCGACAGACCGAGGGTTGATAGAGTTTTTGTTGGTTCGAGAAGAGAGTGATGTTTGAGTGATCGAAAAGAAAGGTTGCGTCTCGACAGGCGGTGTGTTCGTGAGTTGGAGGCCGGCATTGTTAAGTGGATAAAGTTACCAGTCTTGTTAGCAGAATTGTGGAAGAAGTAGATTGCAAGTCGATGTAAAGAAATCCTTGAATCTAAAGTGTGCAGTTTCTGGAATACGTGTTAAATAGTTGTGGCACCAGGTGAGAAAAGAGATCCTTGGGTCACGAAGAAGTTATATGAATGTTTGAAGAAGTGATTTTCGTGTGTTAAGTGTTGGAGAATTGAGTCAGGAGGTTAAATTAAGTCAGTTAAATTGGCTGAAGGAGCAGATACTGAAACAAGAAGCCGAGGCGCAAGGTGGAAGAACACATTGCTGTGGAAGGTGGACAATTCTTTGTGTGGTCCTAAAACAATCCAGGGAAGAAAGGTCAGATATTTTCCTTTTTCAAGTTGAAAGGTGTGTAAATCTTAAATGCGATTTGTTTACCTCATTGTTGTTACCAGTTTAAAGCAGGATTAGACCTTTTTACATTTATCAAATGTTTTAAAGTTTTGTTTCCATAATAAAATAGATTTTTTAAATATAAGGAAGATAAAAGTTTATAAAGGTATCCAAATTTAAATTAGTTTCAAATTGTTTTGTCTCAAGAAGAAAATAAGAATTAAAATTTTCTTTTTGTATTAATTTCATTACATGCATATTCGCTGATTGAAAAGATAACGGCAAATTTAATAATTGTTTTTTTTTTATAAAATAAAAAATATCTGTATTTTATGTATTATACTTTTTATTATTATCCTTTGTTTTTCCTATCCCGATAAATACAACTAGAAAACTTTGAACTCACTGAACATAAGAAATATCAGAAGTTTATTTTTTAGGACATTGATAACGAGAAAGTATATTTTTGTGATTGTTTCAAGTAAATAAATTAAAATCAAAAATACAAAATCATAACAATATATATATATATATATATATATATATATATATATATATATATATATATATATATATTCATATTCATAAAACTAAGGACTTTAGATGTGATACTAATAGCTACCAATAAATATATAGCAGATTTCATATATCAAAGAAGGAGAAATGAATCGAAACTATCGACAATTTATTATATCAATATTTTTGGTTTTTTGGTTTTAGGTCAGTTTATAACTGATCATTCTACACAACTTGTATATTTTCGATAAATTTGGAAATCATATTCGTAAATGTATTCCATATTTTTAAAAATCAATAAGTTATTTTAAAAACAAACTTAGCCCGGAATCTTAGCCTTCTTTTAATTCCAAGATCTACTACATACGTTTGACTTAAATTTGTATAAATTGAACGATGGCGCAAGTGCAAAGAACCAGCGGACCGACTATATATAATACAAATTATAAATTGTGTTTTGTTGATGTAAACCCCAACTCAGGCACACTTTTTATATTTTTTTTGTTTAATGTTTAAAAAATATACCTACTACACAACTCTTGCGGTAGGCGTATAATGCATTCGTTCAAATTAAGATGGGGGCAATGGGGGGACTGATAGCCAGTGGGTAATGAGAGCCACCTTATTATTACGGATTTTAAAGCCTTAATATAACTGCCGAACGCATTCTTGAGCTGTAATGTAAAAGTAGTAAAAGTTTCATTGCATCACATCTGATTTTCTGTTAAAAATAATGTCGTTTATATAACATTTTATATAAAAAATGGACCCATTTTTAAATTGATTTTAGATGCTCACGACATGGAAAAGGAAAATCGATAAAGGTTCGTGGACATCAGAAGACTTCCACAAGTGGTGCTAGGTTGATGGCTAATGGAATGGATATAAAAAAAGCAGCCCTTCAATTTAATATCCCCTACCAAACATTGCAAAGAAGATTAATGAAGGACAACTTGCGATGTCCGGCACAATTAGACACACGTCCTTGTTTTACAATTAAGAAAAAGAAATGGCTGCCCATCTAATTAAAAACTTCCCAACATGTTCTATGGTTTATCAAGGTGGCTACTTTGTCGCCTTGTCTATAGATGTGCAGAAAATCCTAAGATAAAGCATCTTTCTAATACCCATCTTTCAGCTAGCTGTAAGGTTTCTTGAAACGAAATCCTACCGTTAGCGTCCGTAAGCCCGAAACCAATAATACCCAAGTATTAATTGTATCAAAGGTTTCAACAAGTCAGAAATCATACTGTTCTTCGAAAATCTTAAAACCGTTCTGTACAAATATACATTTCAAAAGTCAAATATATATAAACTCATGGATAAAAATATCGAATATTTTGGAATTTTTCTATTCTTTTTGTGTAGTCACTATTATTTCAAAAACATTTTAGATTACTGGATTACTGGGTACTACTCATGTGGTAGGCTGATATACTCAATTAGCTTGAAATATTTTAACGTTTATTCAGCGTTTATTGTCATTTTTGAATTTTATCATAAAAAACCTTCTTCAAGTAACGAAAAAAAAAAGGTAAAAAAATCATGGTAATTCGATTATTTTAAGTTTATTCTATTAAGTTTAATATTAAATACTGATTTGATTCAATTAAGTTTAAAACAAATATGGCACCAATTCGACACTGCGATGAAGCCCAAGTTGCACAGGTTGTAATTTTATACGAGGAAGGGTATACAAAAAAAATTTCGCACGACGTCTCAGGAGAAGTCAATTTACAGTTTCTAATATTTTAAACAGATACCATGAGTCAGGTAATTTTTTGCGGAGGTCTGATCAAGGACGTCCAAGGTGCACAACCGCAATTAATGACCATTTTTTGGTTGTTAATTCTACAAGAAATCTCTCATTGACATCGATACACCTCAGAAATGAGCTACTAAATGTCAGACAAGTTAATGTGAGCTTAAAAACAGTTAGACGAAGATTTAAAGAAACAGACTTAAAGCCTAGACGTGCTGCAAAAGTTCCACGCCTTTTCCAAAATCTTAAAGCTTGTCGTTTAGAATTTGTAAGAAGACATAGTCATTGGAATATCGACAACTGGAAAAATGTTCTTTTCACTGACGAGAAAATCCTATTATATAAGCCAGATGGTCGAAACCACGTCTACATAAGAGTTGACGAACGATTCGCCACCTGCAATCTTACCCAGACCCTTAGTTTTGGAGGTGGTGGCATAATGCTTTGGACTGGTATTAGTTGGGAGGGATGCACCACACTTATGGAAGTGATTGGACGAATGACTGGTGACACTTACTTTCAAAATATCCTGCAAGATCATGTTTTGCCATACTTTGGTTACAATGGATATGCCAGATTCATGTTAATGCACGATAATGCTCGACCACATGATGCTGCCATAGTAAGTAATTATCTTGATGGAATCCAAGTTCAAAAATTGGATTGGCCACCATTTAGTCCGGATTTAAATGCAATTGAGCACATGCGGGATCAGCTAAAATACCGTATGCGACAAAGAAATCCCGTTCCAAATATGATAGAGCAGCTTCGGCTTGCTGCACAAGATGAATGGAATGCTATTTCTCAAGAGTATGTCTAAAATTTACTTGTAAGCTTGCCAAGAAGGATGCAAGCAGTAATAAAAGCTAGAGGGGGGAATACTCGTTACTAAACTTGTACTTGTTTCAATTAAAAAGACTTGTTTAAGCAATTTACGTTAGCATTTAAGTTTTGAGTAAAAAACCGTATTTACCTAGCATTAAGTAACATTTTTTTCCCAGTTTTCTCCGCATAAAAATTTAAAATTTTTCATTAAGCATCGTTAAAATAAACTCTTTTCACAATTAACGACTTGATTGACCAGAAGTTATTTTCAAAAAAAAATTAGAAAATTCCAAAATATTCGATATTTTTGTCTATGAGTGTAATATGGATGAGACCGGAATTATAACGATTCAAGAACCAGGAACTATTTTAGCAAAAAAGGACAAAAAAAAAATAGGTTCAGCTTTATAATTGGTAACGTGACAAAAATATTACGGTCATTTGCACCATGTTGGATCATTATTTGCCAAAAAATATTTCCTTAGGTGGCTCCCCCACTCACCAAATTCGCCGGCTCGTGACAGTAATTTTCTCACTTCTGTGTAATAGACATAATGTCTAATGTAATAAATATACTATACAATGTTAACAGTTTAAGAAAATATCTGAGTTTATAACACAGTCACTTTACATTTGAAAGGCACTTTTATAATTTTTAATAAAATATTTTAACTGCAAAGATTAATAGGCAACTCTTTATACACTTTCCCTAGTTTATTATTTTTCACAAAAGGAATGAACGTGTTTGAAATATTAAGAGTGTGTCACACACTGAATCCTTGTGCACAGTGTTGAACCCTATTATCCGGAGGAGGATATTTACAGCAATAACTCGACACGATTCCCAGAGCGGCGAGAACTAACGAAAGCGCAGAGAAACCACATACTGCGCCGGATGTCATATCTGCGAGAGGTGTGCCTTGTTTTGGTTGTTTTACTAGAAGCACCAATAAAGCCATGCAGGTTAAGAGGCTGAAGACGCTGAGAATAATGTATCCTAAAAAAAAAAATAATATTAAATTATTTAGTATATTATTGACTGGGAAATTAGGTTTGGTAAGGCAAACAAACACTCAGTCCAGTAGCAGGAATGCTTGAGGAGGTGACATTAAACAATGAGGTAAAATATTAACTACGTTTCACTTCTATATCATCATGAGAGTCTTTCTGGAGATATTCGAACTATCATAAAATGTTTATTTAAAAAAAAAAAAAAAAAAAATTTAGTTGAAAGCATCCACGTTTCTTCTAAAGCACCCAATAATGTGGGTAAGTGTATGTCTAATTCCAAAGACACCATCAATTATATGAACCTTAGTGGTGTTTATAAACCAAAATGTTCAGATTTTGATGTCACCTACATAGGAAGAACTTGTAGATCACTGTCTTCAAGCTCTTTAGAGCATACGAAAAGAGGAAATACTTAAACTTTCTCTCAACATCTAAAGGAACATAATCACACCCTCGATATCCCAGAAGATGTGTCCCTTATTCACAATATTCTCCAAAAAAACTTCCTAAAACGAGACTTATATGAAGATCTTGAAATTATCAAAGAAAAGCAGAGAAGTCCAAATTGTGTTAATCGCCAAGTCTCATTCAATCGAGACTTCCTTCCTCTCCATCGCCAACATCCTCAACATCTACTGTTACATTAAAATTTACACCAATTTCTCTCCTTTTGTCATTTATTCATCTTTTTCAGCCCACTTCAAATCACTCTTTCAATGCATCTAACTTTTCCACCATTCCCCACTTCTTTCTGGTATTCTAAAATTCCCCTCTGACCCCTATGCCTAATGTTTTTCATCCTCCATTGCTACATAACTAAATTCTATTCCCACTCTATAAACCATCAACAATCACACAATAATTCAACCCTCCACTCATATACACCCCTTCACATTCACATACCCAGATAATTTCATGGTCCATCTGAAGTCAAGCCACACATCTGAATCTCCTCTTATCAATCATAACACTTTAGTAACGTCTTCTTCAGTCAATTTTTTTTATCACAAAAACAATAAAACACTACAAATCATAACTCTAACTAAATAGATTTACCCTATACCCCTAGTTTTTTCAATCTTCAATAAATCTGTTAACACACATTTAACAACGATTTTTAACCAACTCTTGCCATTTCCACTATTACTTATAACTTAGACACCTATAATTTTTTTTAGGTTCCAAATGTAATATTTGAACATGTATGGCCTTAAAATTATCAATGAAAAGAAAAATTAACTTACCAGAAATGTAGTTTCTGTTAGGCAACCAATATATGTTCCTACTTCTAAATCCTAGTAATCCTAATATCAAACAAGTAAATCCAGCTACCACCCCAAAATCCAGAAAGTACTGTCTGTCCATAATTTTTATCATATAAAAGCTCAACCCAGACGTAACTGCTCCACAGAGAACCATCATGATAGCAGAAAAAGTCAAAGTCGCCTTAACAGGAGCTTTTCTAATACTCAAATTTGACCAAGAGTCGGATTTTGAGTACGTGGTTTCGCTGTAAATGCTCTGTATAGGACTTGAGCACATAGGAGCTACTATTGCTGTGTGTCTTTTGTCTTGAACAATTTGTCTCGTAGCTAAAGTGTAATTAAGCTTCTGTTGAGCTTTGGGAGCAGGCTTTTTCATCCTTTGTGCCGTTTTGCTTTGGAACTCTTTGGCAATCGGCGAAAGGGGAGGTGGCATCAGTTTTCTTGCAGATTGTGGAGACAGAAGTTGATTTGTTGGTTTCTTTGGTGTAGAAAGAATTTCGTGCAGTTTTTGGGTAGCTGTAGGATTAGCTGGTCTCGGAGATTGTTGAATATGAGGCCAACTGAAAAATAAATAAATAAGTTAAGTGGTGTGATTAGGTAACGAAAACAGAAAATTTTTTTGAAAATATAGTTTTATTACCGTTTTGACGCAGCGGTTGAAGACCTAATGACAAAAATCCAACAGTCAACTTGAAACGCAATCCCTATAATAACCAGCGAAGGATAAACACACGAACTACGTCTATCACTTAAAGAGAATATCAATATTAAGAAAAGAATGGATACAAAACAGAACATTTATTAGTAGGAACAAAAATTATATACTGAGAGAGTACAGGTACTGAGTTGCTGTAGCTGAATGATGAACCACAACACATCTGCTAAAATGATAATGACTACGATTATGAACTCATACTCATACATTAGATGTAAGTAAGTGTATATAGTAATAAAAAATAATGAAATAAAGTTAGTTACCTTGTTTGAGGTTTTTTAGGTGATGTCTGGATATACTCATATCGAGTTGGACTTTGAGGTATCACTGGTTGAGGTTCTTCTTGAATATATTCGTATCTACTTTTGTTTTGAGTTATCATTTGTTGTTGGGTAGCTGTTATCGATGGTAAGTGGTCTACAGGAACTAGAGCGTATCTTGTACTTTGAGAAGACAGTTCAGTTTCTTCTTCAGCTTCTATTACTGCATACCTATAACATTTATATTAAGTACAACTTTAGTATTCTAAAATGAACGAATAGATTATATATATATATATATATATATATATATATATATATATATATATATATACAGTGTAGGTAAAAGTTTACGGTCGGTATGTACCTTACGTGAGATGAAATGAGAAATACCTATTTAAAAAGAGAGAGGTATAATAGGTACGCCCTTTATATCGTCGAAACTGCATTAGTGGAAATAAGAAAAAAAAAGAAGTTCAACGTTGCCAAACTTATTGGTTTTATTTGACCTGGTGTCTTTTTAGCATTTTAACAACGTTCTGAGATAATCAAATTTGGGCGAATTGATTTAAATGGCAACTTACTGTTTTTTATTTTAAATGTTCCACAATTTTCCTTTACAATAAGTTTAATTTAACATTTTGATTTCCACTTTAGGAATAGTTTTATGTAAATAAAATTTATTAATGTTTCGTATTTTAAGTACGATTTCCGAATTGGCAATCTAAACATCAAAATAACCTTGTTTTAAGGTCACATTGTGCCTTATTCCCCAAAAAAAAAATAATAAACTGCATGATAATACCACAATAAAAAAGCTTCTTACAAAATTATTTGGCAACGTCGAGTTTTTAAAGTAAGGACACTATAGTAATGAGAAAAACAGTAGAGGTGCGTCGTTGACGTTTTTATCGTTAACGAAACTGAACCGCTTTTCGTAAACAAGTAACAAGTTGAAAAACTAATTAAATTATTTAACAGGTTGATTGTTTAACAGTAATTTCAAATAAGCGAGTACATAAACAAACATGCTTTCTTGAATAAAAGAAAAATATAGTGAAATACAGAATAAATTCAGATTTACATTAGACAAAACAGCAAATCCAAATAAAAATTATGTTTGCTAAATAATATAAAACGTGAATCGTAGACTCCCATGTGTTAATATTTCAAATTAAAAATAATCGATCATTGCAAAATTCAGAAAGTCGAGCATAAAAGCTGCATCTTCTACAAACGTGCATTTTTTGAAAATACAATTATTACGCTTGTACTAGGTAAATGAAATATATCAAAAGTTGAAGTCAGATATTAGTAATACACAGATGGGGTTCAGAAAAGGGCTTGGTGCTCGAGAAGCACTCTTCGGTTTGAATGTTCTTACACAAAGATGCCTAAACGTTAATCAGGAGGTACATACGTGTTTTATCGATTTTGAAAAAGCGTTTGACAGAGTACGCCATGATAAGCTTAGAGAGATTCTTGAAAGGAAGGACATAGATAATAAAGATCTGCGAATAATTCTCAATCTATATTGAAATCAGAAAGCTAACATCAAAATAGAAACTGAAACATCACAAGCAATAGAAATACGTAGAGGAGTACGACAGGGTTGCATTTTGTCACCTCTATTATTTAATGTATATAGTGAAAGCATCTGTCAGGAAGCCCTTTTACAAGCAAACGGAGGAATCGTAATTAATGGAGAGATTGTAAATAATATTCGATACGCGGACGACACTGTACTAGTTGCAAGAACAGTAGAAGAATTACAAAGATTACTTACAGACATAAATATTGCTTGCAACAATTATGGTATAAATATCAATATTAAAAAAACCAAGTATATGGTCTTCAGTAAAAACATGACACAACCAGCGTATATTAGTATAAACGGCACTCAAGTTGAAAAAGTATCAAGTTACAAATACTTGGGAACTTTAATAAACGAAACTGGAGACCAAAACAGTGAAATAAAAAGACGTATCGAAATTGCCAGGGCCATCTTCATAAAGATGAGAAAATTCTTCTGCAACAGAAATATAAGCATCCCTCTACGATTAAGAATGCTGAGAGGCTATGTATTTAACACGCTATTATACGGTGTAGAGGCCTGGACTCTCAAACAGAACAACATGAAAAATATTGAAAGTTTCGAGATGTGGTGCTACCGTCGAATGCTGAAGATTAGTTGGGTTGAAAGAATAACAAACTGTGAAGTAATACGAAGAATAGGAAAAGACCCAGAGATTTTGTTAACGCTAAAGCGAAGAAAACTCGAATATTTTGGTCACCTGATGAGAGGACATAAATACGCATTACTTCAAAATATAATGCAGGGAAAAATAGAAAGAAAACGGAATCCAGGCCGTAGAAAAATGTCATGGTTGCGGAATTTGAGAGAGCGGTTTGGCTGCACCACTAATGAACTCTTTAGGTCAGCCGTAAACAAGGTCAGAATAGCCTTGATGATTTCCAATCTCCGATAGCAGTGGCACAAAAAGAAGAAGAAGGTAAATGATTTTAACTAAGAAAAATACTTCTTAATTGAATATTTACAATAAAAAATCCTTTAACGAACTATCAATAAAGATTTCAGCTTCAGAACAACTTCAACTAGTTGGCTTCCCAGTGAGAAACCGTAGATTCGTTAACGACAAATAAACGGTTGAATAAAACAGTTCGGTGATTCAACGCTCATCTCTACCATGGCGTTGAATGGCGATGTTGCCAAAATTATCTTAGATTATTCAAAATTGGGTTACAATGTCGTCAAAAAAAAAACGAGAATCTGTAAATTTTTCATGGATTTAAGAAATTTTGGACCAGTATTTAGGTCAATTAATGTTTCATTTTTAATATCATCTTCCAGTTTTGAATGGCAGTATAACCGCACCACTAATCGCCAATTTTTTAAATCAATTCTATGTTTTAATTCAAATATGTGATACACCTGCCGTTGTTTCTTACGTATAAGCTAAGCTGGATCGGAAATAACCGTATCTCGTTCCTTAATTTACGTGTATAAATAATGTGGAGGGGAGACCAAGGGGAAATATATTTGTTTTCTTTGTCTATTCGCTGAAAACGAAGAAGTACGTCGTAGAATAAAAATAATAGACGCCATAAAAAATGGAAATATAATATATATTTATGGAAAATTGATGATTTAACCTTTAATTTTAGACTACTTAGAGGGAAAAAGAAATAGGCCCATAAATTAGCTTTAATCAGTTAGCTCTTGGTTTTGCATAACGTACTCCATCATTTGTACAAAATGGTGCTGTGTCGTTTCCCATTTCATGACTCATGACTCAGTAAAATAGCTTTTTCCTGTCTGGTTTTTGCCAGATTTTGGAGTAAGTGTCATTCTTAGGCTTCTAGCCCTTACCCTCAGGATTCATTACTGGACATGTGCAAGTTAAGAAACACCTCATACAATGATACTGTTTTATGAAGACGTGATCTGCAGACTTTGTAGGAGAGGACCTAAAATAGTTAATCATGTTACAAGATTGCTAAACATTATATCGCAAGTGGCAAATACTTTTTGGAGACTTAGTAAAAGGTTCCAGGAATCTAGAATTAGTATCATGAATGAATGAATTATTAACACAAGCAAACTAAGCGCAGTACGACCGGTTTATAACAGACACCTTCCAAAAAGAAGTCTAAAAAATTCTAACACAATGTGATAATATATACAAACCTGTGTACTCGTCCTGGAGACACCTCAACATCTTCGTGATACTGAGGCTTCTTTGGGGTTATTTTTTGTTCTTGCATTTGGATGTATTCATATCGTTGACTTTGACTTCTAGTAAGCTTTGGTTTGGTTGGAGTAGGTAAACCATATCTTGCCCCTTTTCGCTCCTCACTTTGAGAAAATCCGTATCTACTACCATATCGATCTTCATTTGGCGGAATCTGTAGCAGGTAGATTTTTAACTCTACTTACAATATTTTCCAATTATGGATTAAATAATATCTATAAAGGATAACCTTTATTTTGGTCTAATTACTTTTATCCTTCTTATGTAAATATAAAGTTATTTAACAAAATAACCTCATTGTAAGTGCAAATTTTGAATCACTTGGTGGAAAAAATGTTATAACCAATGTTTGAAAAATTTTATTATTGATCAAATTTTTTTTATAAAAACATTGTAACATTGTATACAATGTTTTTCTCGAAAAGTTTATTGAGTAAGTTTTTACAAATTAATTGTAAGCTGTGATATAAGAAAGCAAGGTAGTAGAATATTACTATAAATAACGTTCAAATCAATTTACCAGGCTCTACTAATCAGGAAGATGGCAGACAAGACATTCCTTATTAATAACTGCTGAGCATAGTAAAATCTCGCGTGAAAATACTAGTTTAGAATTTCAAACAAAAATAATAGCACCTACATATATCATTTACGATCTAACTAACTTCTACTGATAAAAATAAGGTACCAATGTTGACGTTGCAAGATACATGGACAGCGGAAACTTCTACATACACCAAAGGTATAAGTTTATCATTAAATACGTCTGTTAAGAAAAAACAATATCCAAAGAAGAAAAATCTGGGAAGGGAGAGACAAAGTGATCAAAGTATTAGGAAAATGGAGAAACTGTGAAACTCTGGCCAAGAAGATACTAGTAAAACTGAAAAAGTATCGAAAATGATAATTGGGACCTGGATGTAACGATAAATGTAACAGAAAATGTAAATCGAAATTATCTGAAAATGATAGAGTCAATTTATTTAATAATTTTTGCGAAATGGCTGATCATTACAAACAGAGCAAATACTTGTGTAGATATGTTCTCAGATAGGAGAGAAAGGTTGCAAAGTTAAAAGAGTCCAAAAGAAACTGGACACATGAATATAATTTGCAGTTAGCAGGACACCGACTCCAAGTTTGTAAAACACATTTTTGGGTAATTTTAACATGACAGATATGTGGTTAACTACGCTATTAAAAAAAATTGATAGTCTGTGGTTAAAAATTTGGAATTTTTTTGAACATGATCCAAAACTTTTTTAAAGAGCATAAATAGACGTATCATAAAAAAAAGACTCTAGTTCAAAAATTGAGTGAGTTATAATGAAAATAAGGTCAATACCTCATTTTTTTACGAAAAAATCGATGAAAACAACCCCCTAACCACCTCCATAATTAAAATCGATCTTCACCCTTCTGCAATTCTCTTTGTACATGTATTGTTAATACGTCCAAGAAGTTTGACCCATTTAAAATTCTTAGTTTTAGAAAAAGTACAGCATAAAGCGAGAAACGATTTACAATTTCATATTTTTTTACCCTTCTTTTTTTAAATATCCCCGAAAATACTGAATATATGAAAAAAATGTACTAAATAGTAGCTTTTTTAATGACTAAAATTTTCCTTTATTTAGATTTGTTGTACAAAGAATATTTGGCGAGATATAGCCGTTTAAAGCATCGATTTACGATCGAGCACCATCTTTTTAGCTACAGCTTTAGCTTTCTAGCTCTTAAAAACCTCTACAAAATCGTTTTTGAAGAAACACTCTATCGTTAAAAATGAAGGAAATACGTTAAAAAACCAACTTATTTTTTTTTCCGGAAAATTCCATTAGTATAGTACAATACATTTCGGAGCATAATAATCTACAAAACTGGTATATTAGGTAGTGGGGCGTTATACAGTCGAAATTTTAAGCGTTCTTATTTTGAAATCCCATACAACAGAATAAAACATCTACTCATATGTCTATGGCTTGGCAATAAAACTATCAGAGCAACAGATTGGGGATGGTATTCCAAAGATGGTTTGTTATTACCCGTACGCATGAACAAACAACCTGCACCCGATGAACTTTTGAAAATTATTTTTTGCCAATGCAAAAAAGGATGCGGCGTTTCATGTGGGTGCAGAAAAATTAGTTTATACTGTAACTCTACTTGTTCTGGGTGCTCAGGTGAAGGGTGCAATATTAGTTCACCAATAATTGAAGAAGATGAGGATGACATAGATCACGATGAAGATGTAATTGATTTTTTCGACTTTTTTCAATTTATATCTATTAAATTAGTTTATAAAAACTGCAATGTTGTAAAGGGTGATTTTCAAAAGTTGAAAAGTTGCAAAATTTTGGCACAAAATTGTTTTCACCTACAGAACTCATAACAAGGTGATTTTTAAGGGTTGAAAATGTATGAAATTGTATTTTAAAGTATAAAAAAACCACTATTTAACTAATCCAAACCAAATTTCACTCATCTTATGATTTGTAATGTTATTTTCCAATTTTTGAAAATTAGGGGTAGTTTTCACCCCTAGGAACAATTAGGGTTTATCGGCATGACATAAACTATAAAGCAGAGGGTGAGTTGAGCTTAATTCCAAATTTTTATGCAAATCGTTCCAAGGCGAAATTATTTTCTTCGCATTACTACTTTTTTTTACATTAATCTCTAACAAGGGTCGCTTTTTAAGGGTTGAAATATGATGGAACTTTATTCAAAAGCACGAAACTATCATTATTTAATTAATTCAAACCAAATTTTACCCATATTCAGGTTTAATATGTTATTTTATAATTTTTGACAATTAGGGGTAGTTTTCACCCCTAAAACCCTTCAGCGCACTTCAGTTCGATATAGATTTTGATCCTTGGACTATCACCTACCTTCTTTTAAAATTTCAACTCAATTCATGCAGGACGAAAAAATTGCGAAGTTTTAACTTTTTTCGAGCTTAAATTCCTGAACTATTATCGCTTCCTTTACGCAAACAACATTGTTGCGAGACAGATAGTTGAACGATATTTTATACAATGTCTATACCCAGGTATGGATTTATTTTTGTCCAAGTTTTATATTGGTCCACTATTTCAAATGCAGTTCAAATTATTCATATATTCATATATTAAATTGTATGATCCGTTTTAAATTCGTTCAATCTGTATGTCACACCTGCTTCAATCTGCAGGATAGTGATTCCGATGCTAATAACAGTAACCAAGACAGTAAGGATGAAGACATTGACGAACTTTTCACTCAATACAAAGAAGCCCAGAAGCAATTATAAAATTTAATTGTGTCAACTGTATATAGGTACCCCATACCGCACAGAAATCTTTGGCTTTTCTTGAAATTTTCATTTGTTTCTAGTTTTTAATTGTGTTAAAGCAGTTGTCCAATAACTAATTTTGAGTGTCCTGTAACTAAATAAACTGTCCAATAACTATAATTTGTGTAACTTTTTTTAATAAATATGTATTTACAAACAAGATTTAACACTTTATTTAAATCCTTTTAGCCATATTGTAACAAACTGTTTAGACTACGTTTTGTATAAATTTCAATTCAATCTGCAGAGGACAATGTGAATTATGACTTTTTAAAGTTGAAATTTTCGTGTATAAAGTGTATAAAGTGTCCAATAACTGTATGGTTCACCCTTTTTGTTACGAATTATCGAAATATGATTTATGAAAAAGACAATATTTATCTCAAACAAACAATTCTTACCTGTATATACTTCTTCCCTTCGTTATTCTGTGCTACAACAACAAACTTTTTATCCGTTATAAATCCTTTATCATCAACTAGAACCTCCTCATAAAACTCCTGTTCCTCCAAACATTCCTCGATATGTTGGATATCATTCCGTCCTCCAACTTGATCAACATTTTGGGGAATGCACTGAGCACCAACAGGGGAATGCCGCACACTTTTGGGACTTAACACACGAGGGGGATAATTGTTGGAATACTCACTTTGTTGACAAAAAGCCGGATTCAAATAAGAGTTTGGGTTTTTAGCCATACTTAACACTTTTCATTAATAGAATATTTAACAAAATGCAGAACATTACACTGTACACTTACCGAAAAATATACTTTACTACTAAATTTTTGTTCAAAAACTAAAAAAATATATTTTATAACTGCGTAGATGTTTTGACGGTTATTTTGCCGGTATTTTAAAGGGCCGTCGATAGATAGAAAGGTAAAAGTGCGACTGGTGGTTACACTAGAGCGTAACGGTTGGAATAAGGGGGACACAGCTGCATATGCCGAACGTCATGTGTGAGGATGGGGTAGATTACATAGGCGTATCTTATCAGCAAAATTTGTTTATTCCCGGTTTTTTTATTTGCAGATATTTGTGCTGGACTTCAAATTGATAACTAAAATTATTATTCATGTTATCCTGGAAAAAACCTAATCTAAATGCATCTACTGTGTATTTCTTTAGTAATAAATTAGGATTTATTAAAAAATAGTAATAATAAAAATAAAACAAATATATATGTTAGATGTGTTAGACGAAACTAACCTGATTATTTTAAACGACGGACGACCTACCAAGATAGTCAGAGCCAACGATCGACCTTCTGCCATAGATCTTACTTTTATCTCACCTAATCTTTTAAGTTACGCAGAATGTAATCCTCTAAATAATACACTTTCTCCGACCATCTCCCTATCTATATTAATATATCTGGAGAATATATCCCCACTAACAAATCATCTCGAGAAAATGGATTGAATCTTCAGCTGACTGAACGCTTTTTCAAAACCTAATTGAAACACAATATTTTAACAATAACAGTGGTAGTAACTCCTTTAAATATTTCATGAAAGTAATAAATGATGCAGCTTCTAAATCAATGAAATCTCGTTTAGGTAAAAGTAAAAAACCTCCAAATCCTATTTGGTGGGATGATGAATGCACCTTAATTGTTAATAATGGGAAAGATGCATATCTGGAATATAAAAATACCACGAATTACGAAAATTATCTCAAATTTAAGCAAATTCAGGCCAATGCTAAATTACTTTTTAAACAAAAACAACCATTATGATGGAAAAATTTTATTATTAAATTAAATAAAAATGCCTAATATTATCAAAAATTTGGAGTTTTATAAATAAAACATCTAACAAAAACTCAACTTTTAAAAAACATCCTATATCTGAAGAACTAATAAACCAACTTTTTGTTATTGTAGCACCTAGTTTTGAGCCAAATATGCTTGAAGGACCAAAAGAGAACATTGGCAGCCACATTTTGATACAACGGAATTTGAAGCTGCAATTAAGACCTTTAGATGTATTGCTCCGGGTAATGATTTTGTTACATATGGCATTACTAAAAATCTCCCCCAAGTTGCTAAATAATTTATAATAAATATATACAATGGTTGGTGGGTGAATGCAAACTATGTTGAGCAACTTAAACAAATTACCATTTGTTTAATTTTCAAACCAACTAAAGGTAAAAATACTCCTTCTTCTTATCGGCTTATATCTTTAATGTCATGTATAACTAAAACGTGTAAAAGAATGATAAAAACAAGACTGGAGTGGTACATAGAGTATAACAATATCTCAATACGGTTTTAGAAGGTGAAATGGTACTTTGGATGCAGTAACTCATTTAGTAAACGACATCCAAATTACTTTTTCTGGTAACCAGTATCTAGCTTGTTTATTCCTAGATATAAAAGGGGCTTACAACTCTGTAAATATAGATATACTTAAACAAAAAATGGTTAGGATTGGTCTTAGTGAAACGACTGCCTTACATACAATCTGTTGGAAGAGTGTCTTGTTCTTTTTGAACCATTATAATAAAAGAGTCATATGCAATGGGTATGGCGGTGGATCGAAGGAACTGGACTCGAAGCTCTGGTTGAGGACGAAGCAAAACTAAAGCAATTGGATCTGGTTGCTTTCTAATTTCTAGTACTTGGAAAATCCAAACGGGCATATCAGTTTTCCTTCGAAATCGTCTAAGTCATATAAGTGAGTGGAAAGTTAGGTGGTGATTACATGCTGCTGGATTATCTTGTTAAACTAGAACTTCTGACCTGCTGCTTTACCGTGAGTATCGGGTTGCCAGACATAATTTTGCATGAACAAGCATTTGGCTTGGACAAAAGTGAATTGAAGTCTTGTATTTTTTCCCGATAAATCGAGAAACAATGAAATTATAACACTAGCAGAAAAACAACAAGGTTTTAGGTAGGAAAGATCATGCACCGAACCTATATTTATAATGAGCCAAGTGCTGCAAGAAAAATCATTAAAATATAACAAACCCACATATTTATGTTTCGTGGTCCTTAAGAAGGCATTTAACAGTGTCAACCTAAAGGACGTTATCTACTTACTGTACACAAGAGAGATACCTCTAGGAATAATCAAAACGATTGACAATATCTACCAAAATAACACAATACAAGTAAAATTAGAGTAACTAACCGACCCTATTGAAGCTGGCAATTGAATAAGACAGGGAGATCTCCTGAGTCCTCTATTGTTCAACCTGATTATGGATGAAATAAAAAAAAAGTAAGAACTAAAAAGGATACCAAGGGAGAGAAAAACAACTTAAAATATTCTGCTATGCAGACGACCCAATACTACTATCTCAAAGCGAGAGAGTAGTATTGCGTCAAATTTCCCCACATAGACAAAATGCATGGTTATAACAGCAAATCTTCTAAGATGTAAATTGGAACTGGAGGCATAAAGCTCGAAACAGAATAGAAGATCAATGAACAGAGCACACACAGACACAGAATGCCTAAATAAAACGATGTGGAGAAATCAAAACATTGGGAAAGAAACGAAAGGCAGAATTTACAAAACAGTCATCAGACCAATAATGACTTACGCGGCAGAAACACGAACTGATACAGAGAGGACAAAAAATATGTTAGAATCAACAGAAATGAAAATACTTAGAAACATTGATGGTAAGAGACTACTACAGAGCTAGAAGTACAGATATATGACATAGATGCAAGATGGAGAACCTCAAAAATTGGGTAAGAAATAAAAGAGTAGAATTTAACGATCATATAAGTCCAAAGACAACAAATACATTAGAAAATACTGCGAGAGGCGTTTCCCCAATAACAACACGATAAGTGGGAAGACTAAGAAAACCATGGAACAACTTTCTGGAGGCACATTGAAAAACCGATAGAGTCATGTCTACACAAAAATAAAAAGAAGAAGAATCGTGATTCTATTTTACAAGTTCAGATAGAAGTGTGCAACGATCAGGTTAGAGAAGCGATGATCAGTTAATCAGATAGCGATAAATCTTATTGAACATATTTGGAATGAGATGGAAAGACGTTTACAGAGATATGTGCCGGCCTCCAGAAATTTTAGAAAGCACCTATTTGTATAGTAATAAGACAATCTTCCTCAGAATGAGATCTAAAATACACAGAAGTTAAAACACTTCACAATTGTGTATTTTGGTATAAAAACATACAAGTACTTAAAAACTTTTTAAAAGTGTCGTCAACATTTAAAATTATGGCAGAACGTTTTCAATCTATACAGATCATCTTCAGTGCCTTTTGTATTTGATGCTAACAAAAAGGTGTCTATAAGACTTCCATGTGTGGATTTACAAAATATCACATTTTACATTTAATAATGTTGAGACTCTAGGTCGATGACAATGGAATTGTTTTTAAAATTAAAATTTACTTTAGGGACTACATGTCTCTTAAGCTCGAATACTTGCACGTGGTACTTGTCAGTTGAGATCTAAAATCTGATCTAAAGCATGCCTCGTCAATTGCAAGCTATAGTCCTATATATTTTTCCTAATTTTAATAGATTTTCTTATTGTAACATTTTAAGACAAAAGTAATGCATCAAGTAGGTTGTGTCGATAGTAGGTTATGGACAAAATCGCATGACAACACCATCTGTCAAATATTGTTGTTTGTAAACAGACTTAAGATTTGTATAGAAAGGGTGTCCGAAACGTTAAAAAATAGTGCAATTGACTGAACTCGCAAAAAGTGCAGTGTATGAGACAATAAAGGCAATAAAAAATTGTCTAGATATAAGACATAGACCAGTTTCAGGTACACCGCGTAAGATTCGTGGAAACAATTTAAATGCTTCAGTGGCTTTAGGACGACAAAATTCGCGCCCAAGGTTTCGAAAATTAGAAGAAGGTTTTGAAGAATAAAAGTGTGCCGAGAAACTGTCCACATGTCACTGAAAAAGCAAGGCTACATATCAAGGAATCCACAAAATATTCCTACAATGGCACCTCTGCAAAATCAACGAAGAATATATTTTTGTCAACGTTTTCGAAAAGATAATTTAAATAATGTCTTTATATCTGATGAGAGTTGTTTCCAGCTTGTACTGTTAATGGTACTGTTGATAGTGCGAAATATTGTGACATCCTGAATGGTTTTCTGCTTGAAACGGCTCATGTTTTATATCCAGAGTGGTGGCGCTTTCAGCAAGATAATGCAAGATGCCATACTTCTGCTTATAGTCAAGCTTGGATGCAAGAACACGAATTGGCAACAATTCCATGGCCGGTAACATCTCCCGATGTTAGCCCCATTGAAAACATATGGGGACTGATGTAGATTGAAGTGAAAAGAGCAGCGCCACGAGACAAAGAAGGTTTAATTCGGTCAGTTTTACAGGCCTGGAACACCATTACTGAAAATTATGGCCTTGGCCTAGTTTCGAGTGTACCTGGACGTTTAGTTAAGTATTTAGATTTATATGGAGGTTGTATAAGTAAATGAGATGAATTATTTGTTGAAATTTTATATTTCAAGTGATAGAAATAAATGCCGTAAAATTATAATTCTGCTTTTTTTTCCGGATACTTTTATTATCACTTCCATATGAAGGCGTCAGTGCTATTTTATGCTTAAAATTTCTTTACTTTTTTAACGAAAAGCATATTAAGTAACGATGTTCATTTTCATTCCTTAGCGTATTCCCAAGTGGAGACTAAATTTCCACTAAAAAAAATCC